AATTAAAAAAATCTTAATAAAAAATGTATACCCGAATAATTATTTTCTTTATACCTCGAATAGAACTTAAAATTTATATTTTTATAATAAGGAACTTCGTTCCTATCCGGTGTTCCACGACACCATACATCTTTTTTTATTTGACATGTGTTCACAAACAGTTTCCATGAAAAAGTAATAACAAAGTGTCAAAACATTAAAACTCGTAATAAAATTAAATTCGTGAAATCAATGTGGTATGACGTCGTTATGTTAGTCCGATCAGGTATCCACCATCCTTAGTTCTACAGTATGAATCAATGTTTAATTGCTCCCAAAAGTCTGATTTGCAACATATCGTTTGGTGTAATAATTTTTTTAAACTTGCAACTCAGTAGAGAGGTCGTCGGCAGAAGTCAAGTAATTAACAATTTATTCATTTTTTAAGCGTGATTTTCATGTTTTCAAGCAATATTTAATGTCAGTGCCGTAACCTCTATAAAAAACGTAACGCTCAACGTTTTTTAGTGTATAGTTAGATGAACGAACCCACAGCGCACCTAGTGTTAATTAATCGTCTTTCCGCATTAAAACCGTATAATCTCAAAATTTACTAATTTTACAGGAGTGTTTTAAAGGTTTAACATGTATCTAATATTTTTAATTTAATCATCTTTGCAACATTTATTTCAAAACATAGGTAATCTAAAAAAAAAAAAACTAAGCTACACTCTTTTGACAGTATTTATGAGAAAAATACTGGTGATACCAAATGTTTACGCATATTAACTCAATTTCGAGTATTTTTGGAAATTGTACACTTTTAATGCGAAAAAGCGAAATGTTTATTGGATCTTATAGACATCACAACGTGAATGCAGCCCACCAACGGCCTCAAGCCTCAAATGTTTTTATTTATTGCTTATATGGGTGGACGAGCTCACAGCCCACCTGGTGTTAAGTGGTTACTGGAGCCCATAGACATCTGCGACGTAAATGCGCCACCCACCTAGAGATATAAGTTCTAAGGTCTCACTGCCCCACCCTTCAAACCGAAACGCATTACTGCTTCACGGCAGAAATGTATTGCAAAGCGACTATCCCATCCTTCAAACTGGAAAACATGACTGGTTCGCGCCAGATATAAACAAGGTGGTGGTACCTACCCCTCCGGGCTCACAAGACTCACCACCGTTCAGTAATTATTACGTAAATTATAATCTTCATGGGTTTGATTTTTATTATACGATCGTAGACTTCCTTCGTTATTGTGAAAATTGAAAGGATTCCTATTTCATAGAACACAGCAAACACAGGTTCTTGGAATCAAAGCTTTGTCCAGAATCGTAGACGCTAACCCGGAAATTCGAAGAGTTAGCTCAATAAAAATGTTGGTCTCTCAAATTCAGCTTAAAATTACATACAAAGAATATTCGGCGACCCTAAGCAGCGTCGGCAGATTTCTTTTCCGCAATAAAATTTCATTCAGTTTCTTTGAAGCAAATTTATTACTGCTGATTTAAGAGTTGCGTATAGTTTTTTTTCCGTTACATTGTCAAACAATACATGAAAGAATAATAGTCTTTCGTTGCGTTAATTAGTTAATTCCATGCGTTATCGCAAGCTTCGCTGACCTGACGCAATTCTTATCTCAATGAACTAAAGTTAGCTTAGCGGTGTTTGACATCTAGAGTGTCAGCAACGAGATAACTCGTGTGTATTACCCAGAATGCTAACCAAGAGCTTCTTGGTGTATTTATTTGCTATGTTGTTGCACTTATGTTTATATTTCTAATGTATCAATGTAATATGGTATTCATATTCTGCATCAAACAGAATAATTAAAGTTTTAATTATTATTGTTTTTATAATTCATAGAAGACGAATTATTTTGATTTTCAATATAATATTATTTAATTAAGCAACTGGTGGTAAACCGTATTGTAAGTTCATATACCATATATTATTATGACTCTTAAATCAGTCACGGATTTTAGCAATACCTCCCGGTCACCGTCCTCGTCTGACCCGTGGCTTGCGACGAAGGGCTCGATGAGTGAATTAACCCATAGACACAGTCCACTGAGTTTCTCGGCGGATCTTCTTAGTGGGTCGCGTTTCCGATCCGGTGGTAGATTCTGCGAAGCACTGCCCTTGCTAGGGTCAGTGTTAGCAACACTCCGGTTTGAGCCCCATAAGTAGCCCCCGTAACTCAACTTTTTATATGTTAAAAATGAGTTGTTCCAACTCTTAGGGCTGGTATTGAAACAGGGAACAGTGATATATATTTAAATATTCAGTGTTAATAATGAAAACTATTAAACAATTGCGTGTTTTATATGAAGACGGGAATTTTACTTGATGGAAAACTTGAAACGTGGCGATTGAAAAATAAATTCTAAATCGGATAGTCAATGTTTACATAATTTATCGCCCGAAGACGAAATCAATTTGTTGTTTTACAAACATGTTTTGGCGAGATAATATTCCGATACGTTCTCAATTTGATGCAAAATAAACATCGCAGCACTTATTTGGTCGCTCAATCGGAAGACGTAAAAATGATGTGTTACTAATAGAATATGATTTCTATTTTAGATAGATTACGAGTTACGATTCGTAGGCGGAACATCGCCATGTGATGGTGTCTTTGGAGGTCATAACGTGAATATATTTAATGAAGCGAACTTTCGCTTGTTTTTGTTACATGTCCCTTCTCACGTAAACAAGTAAGAAAATAAACATTTTCAGTGTGTCACAAAGTTGGATAAAAACTGGTATCTCGTATAAGCAATGTAGGTCAATGTACAAGACCAGTGAGATGAGTAAGTGAGTACGTATGAGAACTGACTTCTGTATAGGATCCAGCAAGATTATTTTACATTTACAACACAATATTTTATACTCACAATATTACTCGTATATAGTGGAAACAATAATATAAAATACTGTGAATCTATTCCACCGAAAATGTTATAGTACTAGGTGACTATCTTCCGTCTGTATGTCAACGTCAACAACAATTCCTTTGTTCGTAAATACGTACATAGGCAATAAGTAAAATATTCTAAATGCTACTAATATTATAAATGCGAAAGTTGGGAGAATAGTTAGATGTTTGTCATTCCAATTTCCGGATCTACTAATTGAGTAGCAGTTTATGGACCAGAAATTGACACAAACAATTACAGTCAAACCTGGGTAAGTGAGAACTGGATAAGTAAGAAAACTCTATAAGTGAGAGTAATAGCAAGGACCCGTCATTTTAAGCTCCCAAAACCTCTATTAGCGAGAAACAGAAACCTCTGTAAGAGAGAGTCGTTTTTTCCTCATGGACCTCCGTAAGTGAGACTGCTACCTATCTATACCTCTATAAGCGACAGCCGAGCTTTATTTATTTATTTATATTATTTAGGAGGAACAAATGACAAAACAAATTACAAATTTAACATGTGCTATTTTATTACTCATTTTTAACTTACGTGGAACTTCCTATCATTGTTTTTGTATTGTTTTCTCGTGAATATTGAACCTATTCTATTTCGTGGAACTAAATAACGTTGTTATTTTATCGTATTCTTTTATCGCATTATTTTCGAATGAACACGTGTGCCTGTGTATCGTCTTGTTTGTCGGACTTACTCAGTTTATCGTTAATCAATTGCGAAGGAAAGTTCTGTTCTGCATCATGTAAAAACGGAAAATTAAAGTACTGTCATTAAAGTCATAAACTTAAAATAGTGAATGCATTTGAATGCGGAAAATCGCGAATCGAAATTTAGAGGGAGCATTACCGAGAAACTCGGGTTAGTGAGAAACCTCTATAAGCGAGAATGAGATTGTGCTCCCTTGAACTCTCGCTTATCCAGGTTTGACGTATATTATTTATCCCGGGAAAATGTAACTGGTTTCGTTATTTCTGAAAACAAATTGAACACGTCAACGTGACACGTCTAATTAAAGATGTTTGCTTGTACACTGTGCAATTATTATTTATCAATATGTTTGAGAGTTATAATAGAGTTATTTATTTCAAAAAGAAACTTATTACATTACCTACATTTATATTTTCAAAATTTTCATTATTTTGGTCTATAGTTTAAGTTTGATTACTTTCTCCTCAACTACCTTTTTTCCTATCTGCCGCTTTGGTTAATCGTTTACTACATCCCACAGCATGGACACCACTAGAATAATGCCGCCGTCCACGTACTTTTCCTCCTACGCTTCTCAAAATTCATCAGTTGTCTAAGTAAATTAATATTAAAGTTTCATTCTTTACATCACTTCAGTTGCCAAGTCTTACAGAAATATATCGAGTATCGTTTTTCGACTTACAATCGGCTTATGCGTTTTGATGTCAATTTTTCCTTCAGAGTTTGGCGAACCTACTCCACGCTGATTAGTTTCTTCATATTTCTTATTATTTTATTATGCAGTCGCTATAAAGTGTCTAGGCCAGAATTTCGGTATCTTTTGCTCTGGCGGCCAACTGTTGGTCTTTATCGTAGAACTACACAGTCTCTGACCATCGCATTCGAACATGGTTAATTTAGTATTATTTTTAAAATTGAAAAAACTATTTTCAAATTTATTTAATACGGAATGATGATGGATGACGGTTGGATGACTATTCCAAGTCGGAATCTGGAATTGTGAAGATGTAACATAATAATAATATATTTATAAAGTTCGAATTGTAATACCTTAAAGTAGGTTTATTTATTCACTTAAAAGAACTTCAATATTTTAACTATATAGAACTAATTGTTTTTTAGAAAGAAATTCAGAAATAAATTTAGATATACCTACCTCCTGGTGCGTCACCTAGGATGCAGGAGGATCTATTCATATATGTTTATATGGAAGAGCTCTATAAAATTTATATTATATCACATGTCACAGAAAATAAAAATACGAGTATACACGTATTCACAAGCTGCCATATCGTTGAAATTTAATATTTTTGTGGAATATCCAAATAAAAAAAACCTCACGAACTGTTTTTTTGTTTGTTTCAGAATTTTCGTTAACAGATCGTTGCATTTAGAAAATGTTAAATTTTACGGTTTTGATATGGACTATACATTGGCCGGTGAGTAATAAATTGACATTCAAATAATAATTTGGTTGTTAATTGGTCACTAAAGTAATAAATCTTTTGAACGTAATTTTATTTTTACAGAATACAAATCGCCACAGTACGAAACGTTAGGATTCAATTTAACCAAAGAAAGATTAGTAGTCAAAGGATATCCAAGAGAGATATTAGAATTCGAATATGACCCTTCGTTTCCTGTGAGGTGAGCAGCGAAAGTAATAATAGTTTCTAATAGAAAGGACTCATTTTGTCCGCATGTTTTAACATATTAAATCATTAATTTCAGAGGACTCTGGTTTGATACGTTATATGGAAATTTGCTCAAAGTTGATGCCTACGGGAATATTTTAGTGTGTGTACATGGATTTGAATTTTTAAAACAGTAAGTACCAATTATTTTTTGAGACATTCTTTATCACATACATGGACACTCTATTTCTAAGAACTATATATGTATACTATTTGACTGGTGGTAGAACCTCTTATGAGTCCGCATGGGTACCACCATCCCGCCTATTTCTGCCGTGAAGCAGTGATGCGTTTCGATTTGAAGGGTGGAGCAGCCGTTGTAAGTATACTGAGACCTTAGGTCTTATATCTTAAGGTGGGTGGCGCATTTACGTTGTAGATTTCTATGAGCTCCAGTAACTACTTAACACCAGGTGGGCTCTGAGCTCGTCTACCCATCTAAGCAATAAAATATATGTATACATATGTTATATGTTGATTTTTACGGTCATTGGCCTTTGGTACAAAGTGTTCTTTTATGCGTGCAAAACATTTGCTTTGTCGTCTAGGTACGTGAATGAATACTCACATTATGAACGTTTGTTTTAAATGCTCTTTGTGTTATTAACAAGAAGTATTGATTAAATTATTATTTTTAATCTTGTAACTCTAGTCTTTTTAAGGCCTGGAATCGGTGTGTTGAAATACATACCGAGGGGTGAAAGACTATTTGGTTTAAGCAACATTTTTGCAATATTACAGGAAGAGCCATTAAAATTTGAAAAAATATAATGACAACAAAAATTCTTCGTCTGTTTGAATGGGGTAAACTTTATTGAAGTTCGATTAAAAACATATAACTATTGATGTTAATATGTACCTTTAATTACAAAGATAAATGTCGCGTATTAAGCGTAATGTCGGTTTAACCTTTCACCCCTCGATAAATAAATTTAGTTCGTCTTTTGTACTACCTTAAAAAAATTGAGCTTATTAAGTTGACATTCATTTATTATTTTATATTATTTCAATAAATAATGATTTATAATCTCCGAACCTCACCATGGGGTATATTGGTTAGGGCTAATTACTGAGTCATGATGATGATAAATATTATCCATGAAATAAATTATAACCAGACCGAATATGAAAGAGTAATAATAATGGAAAACTTGAAAGCATATATCTTTTTGAAAATTACAACATAATCTTTACATCAAACTCTGCTAAGTGCAACTTTAACACGTGTGACGTCATTTGGGGCTAAAATAACGATCAGCCATATAATATGAAATCACGCATTATGATTCATGTTAATAATGTTAAAATTAGATTTGATTTTGTTATTGAAATATGAATTATTGATTTTTAACAAAAAGTGATTAACGCATAAATATATCTTTCAATTTTGTTTATAGACTAGTTTTTAATGTCCGCATGCCATAAATATTTTATAATTCACGTCATATAATTAATTCTACGTAAAAGTTTTATTTCTATGGCATAATATATATTTTTTTTCCTTCAGTTCACAGGTATACGAATTATATCCGAATAAATTCTTGACTTTAGATGAATCGAGGGTTTACGTTCTGAACACTTTGTTTAACCTGCCGGAAACTTATCTGATTGCGTGCCTCATAGATTTCTTCACGAATTCACCCCAATATACGAGGTAAGCGTAATATTAACAATAAATAATTCGGTTACTTATGGCGGCATTTGACTGATTCGGTGGTGCATTAGTTAGCGCCCCTAAATGTTGCGCCGAGGGTCGTGGGTTCGATTCCCACAACGGGCAAACATTGTGCGATAAACAGGTTTGTTTGTCTGGGTGTTTCCTATCTATATTAAATATGTACATATTCATTCAAACGTATATAAGTATGTTTGTCAGTCTCTGGACGGTACTCATAACACAAGGAATCATAGATTGGGGCGGAATATCCCTGTGTGATATGTCTTCAATTATTATTATTATTATTAACTTTGTCTTTTAGAGCGGGAAACTTTTTTAATTCGTTTAATCATATAAAAAGCTGAATATCAGTTATCGGAAGACACGTTTGGCCGATATCGTACACTCACTAGCTACTCCCACTTTTTTAATTTGAATGTGGAATTTCCAATTTTATTTAGCTAAAAAAAAAACAACTATTTTATCCATATGACGACTATGTCCATAATCATTTTGGACTCACATTTGTGTTTTAATATAAGCATGTTGAATTCGATGAAACCATTCTACTGCAATCCGAAAACAATTTACGAGAAACGTGTTGGAATCATAATTGTTTTTCACTCTTATAGGGCATGTAACATTATTGACACATATGAAACTGATAAAATGTTTACAGTCTTATCTGAATTCGCATTAAGTTCGTTTTCGTTTGTTCGTGTGATGTTTGTAAACAGGCCGTGTGCTTAGAGCACGGACACTGAAATAGATTTGCGTTCTATTTTAAATCTTGAATTTAAAATAGATATATTCTACGTAGTGTTCATTATATGTAATTAATACGTCTAAATAAAATGGAAAAATAAACAACGTGTTGCCAAATTCTGACACAACCATATTTTGGTATAATGGAATAAATGCTAAATTTTTTTTTATTTTTTTTTTATTGCTTAGATGGATGGACGTGCTGACGGCCCATCTGGTGTTAAGTGGTTACTGGAACCCATAGACATCTACAACGTAAATGCCACCACCCACCTTGAGATATGAGTTCTAAGGTCTCAGTATAGTTACAACGGCTGCCCCGACCTTCGAACCGAAACGCATTACTGCTTCTGCACAGACCTAAGCAATAAAAATATTTAAAAAATCGTTGTTTCTGCTCCGAAAACACTATCTAACAAGTCCTTGTCACTGCTGAGAAAGTTACTTGTGCATCCGAATCGATCGGTCCTGGCATGATAGCGTCATACGGGCTTGAAATAAATGTTATTATAGTGTAATTGGGACTTCGACCACACGTATTCACCACGTAGTAAGTAGACACCAAACACCAAAGTAACCACCACGTAGATAGTTCAATAGTTGAATCGTGAAAGTATATTATATACATATAAATATCAAGAGGAAAAAACAATAAATCGAAGTTTCCGCGTCTCATTATTCATAAACTGGTATAGGCAGTGAATATTTATTTATTTACCTCATCGTGTACTTCATAATGTTGATGAAAAGTATATGCATCACAACAGTTACGTACCAAGAATTTCAAAATATATGTTAATAAATGACCTTGATTTTTTATTAAGAAATGAATATGTAGTCTACTAGATAATTTGAAGCGAATATATTGCAGTCCATGTCCTCTTGTTGATACATATTATATTATAGTTATGTATCAATATATCGTTTTTAACATTTTAATTTGTTGTGACTTAGTTTTTGAACATGAAATAAATGACGACTCAATTGACGTTTTTTTTTAATAAAATTGTTGTTCAAGATATGGGTAGATCACGTACTGAGCAAAATCGAGTATCGTGCAAATCGAAGAGAGTCCGGTCTTAAATAGCTTTTCAGTTCCATTTATTTTGTCACATTTTCTTACTCTTGCATAATTAATTTTCATGGCGTTGTCGTAAATTATTATTTCATCATATCCATAATTTGGTATTTCTAAAACGAATTTTAATCGAAACATTTTAAAGCCTAAAATTCTTTGTTGTTTTATTTTACCATTTATAAAATGATAAATCATTCGTGTCTCCAATTGCAATTAAGTCTATTTATTTTTCTGCTATGACTTGTTCGTGTCGCCGGGAGTTAAAGGAACTAATTAGACGTTTCTTTGATGTGACAGAGTTAAGACGGGAGTGAGATGCGGCGACCTAGCTATGTCCTTCAAATCAATCTTCCAAGATGTGCGAAATGCCGTCGACTACGTTCACATACACGGCGATCTCAAGAAGAAAACTACGGAGAACTTAGATTTGTACCTGAAGAAAGACGAAAGACTGCCAATGTTCTTGTCTAGGATAAGAGAAAGCGGAGCTAGACTGTTTATACTAACTAATAGCGATTACAATTTCACTGATAAAATCATGAATTACCTATTCGATTTCCCGCACGGTGCTAAGGTGAGTCCGATTGATGTTTGTATCTGGGATTATCGATAATACATCGAGTTTGATATCGAAATGTTAGATTGTAAATTTAAAATTCGTTATAGTCTTTTGGTATTTGTATATTAAGTAGTTTAGTTTTATTTTAACCTTTATATTTTAACCTTTTACTTATTTTAATCGCGGAGAAGCGGATGTACGCGTTCCAGACGTTTTTTTTTTGGAATTTGGAAATAAATGTCTTTATTTATAGAGATACGAATATCATTCGTGATTTAAATATAGTTGAAATTCGATGGTATTCAAATGTTTTACATGTGATAATTTACCTCTCAAATGTCGTGTTTTCAATTATATTTTTGAACGCTTGTCTTACATTTCAAACCGGAAGACTGATTGCTTCGCAACGGAAATAGGCAGGATGGTGGTATCTATCCGAGTCCGTTCACAATACGCCTCTATTGTCAGGAATGACACAATTTTTTTTAAAAAACTTTTTATATTTCTGACATTATAAAATAATATGTTAGTCACCTCATTCAGTCTTATTGTGTAAAAAAATATTGATTGATTCATGAATTTTCGTACAAAACCCATTATCGATGAAATTCAAGCCATTTGATTAGTGTAAAACAGATTCTCTTTTATTTCAGGTCGGTGAGCCCCACCGGAACTGGAAGACTTATTTCGACTGGATCGTAGTGGACGCTAAGAAGCCTCTGTTCTTCGGCGAGGGAACCACTCTAAGGCAGGTCGACACTCGCACCGGCGCTCTGAAGATGGGACATCACGTAGGACCACTGCACGAGGGATCCGTCTATTCAGGAGGTAATTCACAATAGCAATAGGGATCTTTTGAAATAACCGAATTGATTTATGTGTATTTTTTACGATTTCTTCAAGTGCTTACTACCCTCTAATATTTGAAAAAAATATCGAAATGAGTATCGTCACAAATATTTCAAATTAAATCATTGAAATCCGACCTAACTCTTCTAAAGTTTATTGTTAAACTGCCAATACCCCTGCAATCTACATTTTTAGGAATCTCGAAGTGAACTAGTTATGCATGTATAGAGATATACGAGTATTTTGCACACTGAGTTTCTCGCCGATCTTCTCAGTGGGTCGCGTTTCCGATCCGGTGGTAGATTCTGCGAAGCACTGCTGTTGCTAGGGTCAGTGTTAGCAACACTACGGTTTGAGCCCTGTGAGCTCACTACACGTCAATGAGAAGCTGAAATAGCCTCTCAAGGCTATCACTATAGGTAGGGAAAAAAAGAAACCAATAATGGCCTTTCTTCTGTCATGTCACAATGTACTACTAGGTGTTTTTTTCTTTCGTTCAAGCAGCTCATTCGATCTTTGCGTTAAACACATATAGAAATAGAATTTGAATGTTTTGAACAGCTTTGTTTAAAGATAAGGATATTACCTTATATAAATGTAATTACACTAGCGTAAGTGTGTAATCAATGTGTAGTACACGTGACGACGTACAGCGTCGAAACGTGGTTTCATATAATCGATTTGATGTTAATTCAGAACATACTAAGTTTCTATATATCTACTGTATGAGCTTAGAGATGGGATCCGTCGAAGAAACACCGAAGGTCGATGACCCGAGGGGGGGGGTCTTAGCTTATATTTATAGAGCATTTATGGCTAATCGTTGTTACTTCTTATCAGCCCACAGACGTCCACTGCTGGACATAGGCTAATCGTTGCTACTTAGTGTAATTATATGATTCCGTTATGTTGTAAGCACCAGTAACCGTGCTGGTTCCACATCCATGAGGAGTGGGTCGCCGTTGCTCAAATCGAAATCGAGAAATTTATCATCACTCTGTGTAGAGCTCGTGGTCCTAAATGATGTCACACATTATGACGTTGCGCTCGTAAAGCTTGCGCGATGATTTCGCGAAATAAGTTGTATCCGGTTCCCCAATGAACGTTTTGTGGAATTTATGGTAACACACACATGTCTTTTCGCATTAAAAGTGTACAATTTCCAAAAATATTCGAAATTGAGTTAATATGCGGAATCATTTGGTATCACCAGTATTTGTCTCATAAATACTGTCAAAAGAGTGTACCTAGTGTAGTGTTTTTTTTTTTAGTTTGCCTATATTTTGACTACTAATAACAAAATTAATACATAATTTTATCTTACATTAAAATACAGATAATGTAACTGGTAAAAAATAAATATAAATGTGGCAAAGATGATTAGTATTAAAAATATCACAATGACATGTTAAACCTTTAAAACACTCTCCTGTAAAATTAGTCAGTTTTGAGATTATACAGCTTTAATGCGAGAAGACGATGTATTGTGACGTCAGTCTATCTGCTCAGAGGCTGATTCGAAAATAATTTTAATAATTATTTATTATATTATTATAATGATACTTTGACTCCATTGCTGGGCCATCCAAGAAAAAGAAAAAAAAATGTTAATAATTTTTTGTTTTTAATTCGTGAAGTAATCGAAACCAATGTTACGTCAGTTACGTGTGATAACGTTGTAATTTTTCGGATTAAGACGACGCACGTATTGTGTGTGAACATTATCAGTGACCCTTTCAATGTTATCGGTACGATCTTGAAACTTTTACTCGATAAGGGTTGCCAATGTAGTTTTTATCTGTATTTTCAAGCGAAATAATAAAAATATATTTAAATTCAGTAAATAAATCCTTAAAACTTTGTGTCCTTTCATGTTTAGTAATAGAATTACAATATACTATATAATTATAATTAATAACACAATGGTTTATACTATTTTTAGTTAACGGGCGTAACCACGACAGTGACTAATGAAGGGAATGCAAACAACTGAATTTCCTTTTACCCAAAATACCAAGCGATATCAATATAAGAATATATATTATTAAACATAGTTACATCCACAGATTAAATAGACAACCGGACAAAAATAACGTAAAACGATATAAATTATTTATAAAAGATTCTCGTTTAATTATCTTTAAGACAACCCTGGTGTCCTCTTCTTACTTATCTACCAAGATTACATTTCGCACTATTAATGTCGAACGCATAATATTATACATAATAATATATAGACACGTTAACATTAGAGTACGGGAAACGGCAAATAACTGTCAATTTAATTCGCGGTGACTAAAAATAATTATAGCCTTAGTACGACCAATCACTTTTTGATCCTATAGCTTCGCACTTAATAATATAAACTAGTGGGCCCCCGGTAGTCGAAATTCGACTATAGTTTATTGAAACTATAACTTTGTACACTATTATGATTCCATTGTCAAAGACTACTTCTACGAGCATAATCACAAATTTCACCAAGATTACACTTTAGACAAATATTAACAAAGACAAACAATACATACTTAATCTATTCTCAATTTGACCATAGACTATAACCAATAAGAAAAGTTTGTCAGTAAAGTAATGTATTTGTTATGCATAATTAAAAAAAAAAAATTAACATTCTGCACTCCTTCCCTATATTATCTATAAGTGTGGAAAATTTCATACTCCTCCGTCCGCGCCATTGTCGTAAGAAGTTTTTGCTTCACTTATTAATTAATGTATAGATATTATATGCTTAATATTTACACATATCTTCTGTAGGCTCGTGTGACGTATTCACGGAGCTGATCAGCGCCAAAGGCAAAGACGTTTTGTACATCGGCGATCACATATTCGGAGACATCCTCAAATCGAAGAAAATCGGCGGCTGGCGAACCTTCCTCGTTGTGCCCGAACTGGTTCAGGAGCTCCACGTGTGGACGGACAAGTGCCAGTTGTTCGCGCAGCTGCAGACCCTCGACGTTCAGCTCGGCGATATGTACAAGTACGTATCGGTTTATATATCTTTTTTTTTTTTATTGCTTAGACGTGTGGACGAGCTCACAGCCCACCTGGTGTTAAGTGGTTACTGGAGCCCATAGACATCTACAACGTAAATGCGCCACACACCTTCAGAGATAAGTTCTAAGGTCTCAGTATAGTTACAACGGCTGCCCCACCCTTCAAACCGAAACGCATTACTGCTTCACGACAGAAATAGGCGCGGTGGTGGTACCTACCCATGCGGACTCACAAGAGGTCCTACCACCAGTAATTACGCAAATTATAATTTGCGTGAGACAGCTCGTGTGCTGTGGAACGCTTATCCAGCGGCCTTAGACACCGAACGCGAGTGCTGCTGTCCATCTTGAGATGAGATCTTAACGGTACAATTCAATTGGACGGCTATTATATCCTTCCAAATTATATTTGGGGTTTCCATGCGACCGAAATCAAAATAATCTGTACTGTAACATATAATCTGTTCGGTCTTACATTTGTAGTTTCCGTAAGTTGATTTCTTTCTATGAAACTTTTTTTTAAATTTTGAATAAATATTTTTTATTGCCTGAACAACTTTTTGCGCCTAGCGTATTGGCGCACAACTTTAAATGTATTTTTGTAAATTTATACAGAGACTTGGATTCGAGTACAAAAGAGAAACCGGATATATCCAAGCTCCGCATGTCGATACGCGACGTGACGCACAAGATGGATCTGGCGTACGGCATGCTCGGCTCGCTATTCCGTTCCGGTTCGAGACAAACCTTCTTCTCATCTCAGGTCAGTACCTAATATAATATATGCTACCGCAGTACCTAGTATGCGCCGCCGCAGTACCTAGTATATGCCGTCATAATAGCTAGTATGCGCCTCCGCATTACCTGCACAACGTGCACGTGTGTAAATACGTTTCTAGGTGACAAAATAAAAAAACAAGTATGCAAAAATAATAATTTAATTGAAGTTTTTCACCATATACTTTAGGCATTGTTGTAATGAGGGCTATTTTACTTTTTGATTAGTCCTTTCAATGTGTACGTACCGATATACCGATTAGATCCGCGTATATAGGAATAGAGTCACTTTAATCCAAGAATAGTGAAGGCGCGACTAAGGAGTTTTTACTGTACTTAGTGGTAGATAAGCACAAGATGGCGACAGACTTTAAGTGTAATATTTATTATTGATACAGGTGGTGAGGTATGCCGATCTGTACGCGGCTTCGTTCCTCAACTTGATGTACTATCCGTTCTGCTACATGTTCCGTGCGCCCGCCATGCTGATGCCGCACGAGTCTACGGTGGCGCACGAACAACGGTTCACCCTCGACACGCCGACCATAGACCGGTCAGTGTTCAACGATAACTAACCATTATTATTATTATTTTTCCTACCTATGCTGATAGCGTTGAGAGGCTATTTCAGCTTACCCTAGCGTGTGTAGGTGAGCTCACGGGGCTCAAACCGGAGTGTGGCTAACACTGACCCTAGCAAGAGCAGTGCTTCGCAGAATCTACCACCGGGTCGGAAACGTGACCCACTGAGAAGATCCGGCGAGAAACTCAGTGGGCTATGTCTGTGGGTTAATTCGCTCGTCGAGCCCTTCGTCGCAAGCGACGGGTTCGACGAAGACGGTGACCGGTAACCATTATTACATGCCGCCGCTATATATATATCGTCTTCTCGCATTGAAATTGTATAATCTCAAAACTTACAAATTTTACAGGACGTTTTATTTTTAATATTAATCATCTTTGCAACTTTTTTTTTTTTTACCAGTAACATTATCTTTATTTTAAAGTAAAATAAAATTATGTATTAATTTTGTGTATAGTAGTCAAAATATAGGTGAACTAAAAAAAAAAACTAAAACTAAACTACGCTCTTTTGACAGTATTTATGAGAAAAATACTGGTGATCCCAAATGATTCGACATATTAACTCAATTTCGAATATTTTTGAAAATTGTACACTTTTAATGCGAAAAGACGATAATAATATGTTACGGTAAATGTACACTCTTGGGAAATGTACACTTTGACCGGTAAATGTGCATATTTGCCAAAAAGTTAAGTATATGTGAAATGAATATAATGTATATGTACATTTCCCGGCAAATGTGTACGCTTGCCTTCACGTTTTGGTAAATGTATACTCTTACCTTCATGTTTTAAGAAAAGTTACAGTAAATACAAATAAATTGATATAGTTGTTGCAGTAAAAAAATATTTATTTAAATAAACATAATAATACAAAAGGCTTTAATAACGAAAATTATTTTAATTCAAAAATGTTAATGACAAACAAAACATACTTTTCTTTGCATATTATATAGCATGTCGTAGGTTAGGTTAGGTTAGGTTGTAGTTGTGCGCATGCGCATGCGCACCACATTACTAGCACTTGCGATTTCGTATTTTGTATGCCATGCTGACATTTACCAAAACGACATGGTCATTGTGAATTTAATGTACATTTCCCTTGTTAGTTGAATGCACATTAGCCAAACGATGAGGCAAATGTGCACATTTACCGGAAAATGTGTAAATTTGCCGCGATATATAGATCCTCGGGCTCCAGTACTAAAGTTTAAAGAAATAAATCGACATCACGTAAACATTTGTAACTGATGACAGAAGAGATAGATACTATGAAGCCGCTTATTTCTGCCGTAAGACAGATGGGTTCTGATTCTAGAGTCTTCATGTTTCACGTTAAGCAGCATTGATGTATTGGCTCTCTCTGTATTGGATGTATTGGATCTATGGGCTCCGGTAACCATTTAAGACCATATAGGCTATATATAGTTCGTTCGTTAAACTGCCAAAAAATATTATTATTATAGTTTCTTTTTCCTATTTTCTCATCAAAAAGGTTAAGGCTCCGGCGTAATTGTTTGCTTTTAGTCTTACAAAGACTTGGGGTGTATATAAAAATAATTATCATGTTTCATGTTATTATCTTTATTAAAGTATAGTTATTTATTAAGCTTGTTTACAGTCTTAGTTGATAGATGGCGTTATTAGGCTATAATATTACAATTAAACTTGTACTTAAGTCGATAAGATCGTAGATACAGCTTATAAGTGAATAAATAATAATTTCTATTGACAGATCTAGACATCCAAGCGCACAACGTAGCTATGGCGTCGTCACTGTAGCGGAGGACACTTCTGAAGAAAACAGCATCATCAACGCACAAGAACCCATTGATGCCAAAGTAAAATCAATAAGTTTAAAATTGTTTCAATCATAAAATATGTTACATTCCAAGACTTGAACAGAGAAATAAGTTTGATTTAAACATTACAGTACAGTGTGATATGCGAAATATGTGAATTTTAGCTTCATACGTGGGTTCCGTTGCTAGTAGGTAAATAATATTTTAAAAATCGATTCAAGTATATAGTTTTTATCAACATCTGTTTTATTAATTCCATAGCTTCATATTTAGAAGAAAAAAAAACAGTTTGTAAATCGAATTTTAATACCTACTACCTACATATAGGTTCGTAATGTAAAATGATAATATTAAAAATATATTTTTTATGACTTTAGGCAGCGGGATCCGTGCCCCACGTACGGCCTGAAACACCCCGACAACTCACGCACACACACGACGACGACTGTTCGGACGACGAAGACGTCACAAAGGCGGCGCAACACAAATAAAAACCGTACCTACCGTGCTATTTTGAAATATTGAATTCGAACTGAATAAAGAACACACCGAATTGTGAAATGAAATGTTTGACGTTTGATTATTTTGAAATGTTTTCTTCATGTAACAGAACGCAAATGGATCGCATTTCATGAATGCCTTTATGTTCATGTTTTTATATTTCTTATACTAGAAGTATAAGGTCGTTGTATGATTTATTCAATTATTTGATTTATTCAATTTTTTGTCAATTTATATCCAATCAGTAAATTGAAATTGACGATCCACAATAGTAAATGAAAAAAGTGTAATTTTTCCGAAGCTATATTTGTTCACATTGTATTATTATATTCGGTTAATAAAATTATACGTATATGTTCATTGTGATACTAAAAATTGAATCTATGCATAGCATATGTTATACTAGAACGGAAAATTATAAAAACGTTTAGAGCATTTTAATTCAAGGGCTCATCGAAGTGTTAATTTTTTATTTTGTTTGTTTTATTTAGTCTATTTGTGCTTTTAAATATGTCGAGATTTTATAACGTTGTTTTATTATTATTATAGTCAGCATTCCTAGTAATTTGTGATGATCTGTAAAAAGATTTTATGAAAGTGTCGTAAATTTTTAGGAATAAGTTGCAATTTTTATCTTTCAAAAGAGTCGCGCAAAGTTCTCATATGTTCTTCAATATGTTAAATTAATAATATTTCTTACTATGTAATGTACTGTATGAGTAGTCATTTAACTCACTTCAGTTAAAATGTTCGATAACAACTAACTTTTTCTTCTACATATATCTCGCTATTAAAATTTGTTTTAAGAAAACTTCTATATTTATCTCAATTTATTAATTATTTATCTTTTGTTTATAACTTAATTTCTGTCAAATTTCAAGATTTTAATTATAATATTGTAATCAATTGGAATTCTGTATATTTAATTCAAATTATCGATCCTGCTTGTACTTACATTCTTTTAAACCGAAGATAATCGAAATATTCGGCGATACTTAATCGATTAACCATTTTAATGAGCATCAAACCAAAATAGATTTTAGTTTCGTAGTAAATAGGTTGTGTGTATAGACAACACAGGCTGTGTCAAATCAAAGCGACATTTAAAATGCAATGTTTAACAATTACATTTACATGTACATAATTATGTAAAAAGTTTTCGTGAAATATGCATTTACTAAAACGACAAGTGTTTTGGATCGCGTAAGTTGACTGATTTATTGCTCTTGTTAATAATACTTCAACTTAAATGCACAGCGATACTAAAATTTTATGTAAAACATACTGTTCATCATGCGAGTCTCCTATTTTAATTGCGAATTTGTTGCGGGCTGGAAAAAAGTTATTTTTAATAGGCCTTTCTAATCTTCTTTCTCAGGGATACGGCTACCTCGAATCTTTTCCTTTGCACGACTCTCTAAATGACTGAAGGTTGTGTATCGATGCAGAATATTATAATCGTAGTTAATTTATAAGAAATACGTATCAATTATTTTATACACATTGATAATAAAGACCATAGTCAAAATAAAGTTAGTTATTTGAAAGTTTCCTTTTATTTCGATACGTTATAACAACAATTCCTCTAAGTATTCTTCGAATTCTTCTTCTCGAGATTTTTCCTCGGTTTCTTGCACACCTAGAAGGTTTATTGGTATAAAGTTTTTCAAATATAAAAAAAAGGATTTCCACATCACATCTGAATCAAGCTACCTCACTTTTCTTAGTTTGAACAATAAAAGAAGAATATAAGTTACTATTTTTGAAGTGAAGCATCTTTAGGCATGTCGAGAGTAAAATTTAAGTCGCGACAGATTCGTTACGGGTAGAGAGAAAAGATACGATTTAGACAGAGCGAGAGTGAGAAAATAGAGCGTCTCGCGAACCACTCGACCGTGGAGAGGGAAAGGACAAAGCGAGCTATAGTAGAATTATTTTGTCGCTGCAGTTTGGGTCATAAAACATAGCCCGGCTAGGGCGGTGAGCATGTTGCGCGGGCGCAACGCCATTATCGATAAAAACTAATGACTCATCGAAGGCAGGTACATGGCGGCGGGGTCGTATACGAAGGGTGGTGAGACACTGTTATGTTATGAGTCATTTGTAGTTACCTGGAAGTTATAGTACATTATGTCGAAGAGAAATGTGTTTTTATGCATTCGTTCTCTGAATTTCTTTAGTGACACAATGGCTACTTCTTTGTATGTATCAAAACGGCAGAATTTATTCAAAATAATATTTGCACGTGTTGTTATCAACAATGTGTTAAAAATTTTCACTGAAATAAGAATAAATCCCGAAAAGTTACAAAGTGTTAATTTCTGCCGTTCTCGTTAACTAGCTGCGGCGATATGTGGTGTAAATGTTCGATTAGTGATTTTTTCTTTCATTTTTATCACTATTTTTATCACTAACCCACAAAATGACAAAACTAAATACACTATCGATAACGCTTATCGACAACAATAATGCGCTTCACTATGCCCGTCCATAAGGCTCATGAGTGGAAGAGAGAGGGAAATACTCGCTTCACCGCTCCGATTTTTTATGACCCAAACTGCACGGACAAAATAATTCTACTATAGGTCGTTATTTCGTTTAGCGATATTTATTGGATTTCATATAAATGACTACATTACAAGGCCAACGGTGTGAACAGTTTAGTTTCTAAAATATTTACAGAGAGCGGTATTTCAAATAAAAGTAATAATCATATATTATATAGCCTCAAGAACAGGAAAAAGCAAGCTATAGGTCGTTTCTCTTGTACACAGCATTCCCTATTACAAGGAAATGTGATTTAAGGATGAAAAATAAAAAAAACTACAATACTACACACCGAAAAAGTTTCACTTCTTTCACGTGCACCAAGTTGCACACGCGCCATGTTTTTTTTTAGTCTGTTACTTTATTTTAGTAAAAGGCAGGAGGAATCTTGATTCATTTCAAGTGGATTTTGTCATGATAGGTACTGAATTCAAATTTAGAAGATTGACACAATGAAATGTAGTTTAAAATATAACAACAATAAAAGATGACCTCTCTAAAATTTTTAAGATTCTAAAACGTGAAGTAGCTCGAATCAATACTTTGGGAATATCCAAAATAGTTCTTCGTCTAAAATTACTGTAGTGAGTGAAGAGCATATTACTTTATGTAATGAGACAGGTAAGTGCATCCACGTCCCAACTTAACTTTTCTTAAAGTTTTGAACATATTTTAATGAAAAAGTATCTATTTAAAAATCTCATTACAGTTTAAGTAGTAATTTTATCTCTCATGTGGAGTACCGTCATCAGAGTGCTACATTAAATTGTGGAATATAATTGAAATGTAGACCCCAAAATAAATCCCGTACGGTGGTAACGCAATAAAATAATGAGTGGATTCTTGTAATTTCTTTTTTAGTTTCCAAAGTACATATTTTCAACGGACACATTTTTGTTATAGTTTTCAGGTATACTAATTGATGACAAGTGTACGTGAAAATACCTTTCTTCCACAAAGACTCCTCTATATCTTCAGAGGCCTGCATTTGTCCCTTGGAGGTTGAAGGCTCTGCAGGAACATCAAGTGGGGGAGTTTTTGGACCTTCACAATCGCTTTCGTCACCTGAACTCTCATTTTTGTGCTTTTTCTTCCTTTGCGATTTCTTTAACCTCTTTACTTCTCGCTTCTTAGATTTGTAGTTTAACTTGGCTGAACAATCTGGACATAAACCTGGAATAGCACGATTTTTCAAACCCCAATGCAAACAAAGAAAAATTAGATTATCAAAAAATATATTTTAATGATAAGTATTAAAATTGGTCGCTAGGTTTTCCATACGAATTCAACAGCATGGAGAGACCATAGTGTAGGGTGCGTCAAAGCTATTCGTTTAAATTTGAGGTATGTAAAATCGAAGATGCGCCCCTTTATTGCAAAAATAAACCTAGATAACATTAAATACCAATAGATGGCAATGCTTTCCACTGTACTGATTTCGTCACCCGCGCCGTTAAAGCTTACTATTTTTTAAAATGCAAAATAGTCCCTCACTGTCCATTTTGAAGGAAGCCATGGCAACAGCTAGTATAACAGGTAGATTACGATTGAAGATATAAATTAATAACCATAATCCCTTAACCTGTGATGTTATTACCGTGAAAAAAACTAAAGTGCTAATTAAAAAAATACCGCCCATGTTTTTAAACAGCTAAAACACTTTTCTGGAACTTTCCTAAAAATGAATAACACTGGATATATTGAAGCATACTGCCATGTTATGCCCGCACTCGCACGAGGTCATTTACCTTCTGAATATAGACGAAACCTATTCCAAGTGTGCCTCCCGTGTCGTTGGCAACGTTTTATTTTTAGGTCAGTTAAAACCTTCAACGCTCAATATTGTGTGCAACATTTTGGATAAATAATTTTCAACGAACGTAGTATTCATTTATTGAAATGCAAATAGAAGTGTAACTTTTTATTCTTTTAGATGAGCAAAGTTTAAAGCACACCTGATAGTGAGTGGTAATTGGGGTATCTATACATCTTAATGTGGGTGTCGCAGCCACTTTTAGAAACGATTGAAGTTTCGATTGCATTATTACAACGGATGCTCTTAAAGTAAGAGAAAAGAATGAGAGTAAGAATTGGGGGGTTTAGTATGTTACACTGCTACTAAGAATTGATGATATGGAATTAGTAATAGTAAAAAGCAGACCTCAGGGTCGCATACCCGTATCTTCGCATTACGTTCTCACATTTACGTAGGAATTATGGTTATCGCGCTCTTCAAATCAGATTGCATGTTTGATTCGTTTTTTCTTATTGCCACTGCAGGCAAACGAGCATCATCTGACGGGGAGTTTTTTTTTTTCGCTACCTAAGCTGATAGCCTCGACAGGCTATTTCAGCGTAATCTTAACTAGTAGGTGAGCTCACGGGGCTCCAACCTGGCGACGTTGCTAACACGAACCCTAGCAAGCGCCGCGCTTCCCAGAATCTACCACCGGATCGGAAACGCGACCCACTGAGAAGATGCGGCGAGAAACTCAGTGGGCTGTGTCTGTGGGTTAATTTACTCGTCGAGCCCTTCGTCGCAAGCGACGGGTTCAACGAGACCGATGACCGGTGCTTGAGGTACCTAAAAGCAGCGTTAGTGGATCGGGAGGATCCGAAATGACGTGTTTTGGACGACGTCGACTGCTTTCCATTCTGTCCGCGGGATCGGGAATGTTACCGGCGGCCACGATGAGAGGGTTCTCGTGTTGTGCCGCTTTATCGAAGTGGAACGGGGAGTGGTTACCGTCGCTTGAATGTCAGTAATACCAGGGGAAGAACCAAGCCATTGCTTACAACGTTCACGAGATCATTACTAATAGGTACTACGGATGATTGGAAATAATGGATTCTTATTGGGAATCTATGAGAAATTTACGATATGTGCGAATATAATATATGTTGACTAATCTCCAGGGTTTTTGAGTTGCACCAATAAATATAAGAACAAGTCTATACTTGCTATGCCTTGCTAGCCTATGCTGGCTTTGCTGATGGCTCGAATTTGTTAAAATTTGTTAAATAAGTAACATTTTTAAATCTCTTTGTGTACGCCCTTACAACAATCTATCATAAAGTACAATTATTAGTTACTTTAACCATCGGCTTAAGAAAACTATCGAGGAAGGTTTGTGCAATAGCGCGTATTTTAAAGTTAAGAATTTACTAGCTGATAGTGCGACGGGGGAACAGAACACTCACTACCGAACGTTTCTTTTTTTGTTTCTTTATTGAATAAAGTTTTAAATATAAAAATACGAGATTCAATGTTGTCTGCGAGGCGGGACAACCCAAGAGTTTTTTTTGTTTTGTTTATCAAGCTACCGATAGATGATTCTATAATTCGATGAAATATTTATCATTCCGCCTTGTTTAATAATATAATAATAATAATGCGTAGAATTAGAATAAGTAATTACGAAGCGAATGTTACGTATCAGTGTACGTGATCAGAACAGTTAGACCGAAAAGAGATGGTTGGATGACAATACTACACAGTGCTTTGATATTAACTATAAGAAGTAAATATGTAGCCCGTTCAAATTTCCATCTTAAGCTAAATAAAAGTACCTATGTAGGTGCTTACCTAAAATGAGTTGATAATGAAATTAAATTAAAGTTAAAATACATACGAAGCTTCACTAAAGCATTCTTTTTCTCTCCGTCTTCAGTGTATGCGAAGTTGACTTCCCAAGATTTAAGTTCTTGACTATCATTGCACTGCTTGTTCCCGCATTGAAATTGACCTTTTCCAAGAACCACTTCTTTTTCTATTCTCCATCGAAGTGCTACCTAAATTTTTAAGAAATTAAATTTTTATCTTCAACTTATGTTCAGTTAAGCCCACCGTTGCGTAAAAGAGATTGGAATGTTCTAGAAACCTATTTAATCTAGTCTACAAAATACATTTTTGTCTTCATATAGTGTTGTTGCTCTTGTTGTGGGAAAAAGATTTCATGGCCCAAATAGTATTCAATGGTTACCGTTATTCCATTGAGGAAGTCGTTTGTAAACATACCTATATTAAATAATTGCATATATCTATGTCAATGAATCGGGTGTTTTAAACAGCATACACAGAGCGACTCTTCGATGATCCTATTTGAAAGGGGAAAAAACAATTTTTTCAGAGTTCGCTTGTCAATAGTGTCTAGTGAAACTCAATAGCTTTAGAAATGTATTTAATATTGTCAAATTATATTTACTCTACCATAAATAGATATTATGTACTAAAGATATTCTATATTTTAGTTATTAAGAAAAATATGTTTTATTTCAAACTAGCGACCCGCCCTCGCTTCGCTTCGGAGACATTAAATTTTATTATTGATAGCTGAGTCCCGCGATGTTACCTACCCGCGTTTATTGTCGTACCGCGGATGACGCCGCGGGGCGAAGCTAGTCCAAAAAAAGTAGCCTAAGTTACTCCTTATATCATCAGCTACCTATCAGTGAAAGTCTCGTCAAAATCGGTTCAGCCGTTCGAGAGATTAGCCGGAACAAACAGACAGACAGACAGACAGACAAAAATTGTAAAAAGGTTATTTAGGTGTATGTACCGTATATATATTCATACTATGCATGTAGTAAAAAGCGGTTATTTCAACATTACAAACAGACACTCCAATTTTATTTATATGTATAGATGAGGTTTGACTGTTTGATTTTATCGACCACCCAGGACAGCGGCTTGGCTGTATCCAGAGCTTAACCGATATTTTGTTCTACCTATTCTACTGATGTCGAGGGTTCATACTAGATTCACCGAACAAGTAGGTGAGCTCACGGGGCTCTAAGCTGGAGACGTTGCTAACATTAGCCCTAGCAAGAGCAGTGCTTCGCAAAATCCATCACCGGATCGGAATCGCAACCCACTGTGAAAATCCGGCGAGAAACTCAGTGGGCTAATTTTATATCACATTTAATAGCCCACACGTGTAAATTTCATCACCCTACCTATTTCTGCCGCGAAGCAGTCATATCTTTCGCTTTAAAGATGGGCAGTCGTTATACAAAAATAAATAATAACTGTATACATATATTTCTATAGATATTTATTTGTGTAGTAATTGAAGGTAATTTCAGGTCATCGTATCATACCTTAGCAGCTTTTTTTTTCCTTCCTAAGCTGATAGCCTTGAGAGGCTATTTCAGCGGAACCTTAACTAGTAGGTGAGCTCACGGGGCTCAAACCTGACGAAGTTGCTAACACGAACCCTACCAAGAGCCGTGCTTCGCAGAATCTACCACCGGATCGGAAACGCGACCCACTGAGAAGATCCGGCGAGAAACTCAGTGGGCTGTGTCTGAGGGTTAATTTACTCATCGAGCCCTTCATCGCAAGCGACGGGTTCGACGAGAACGGTGACCGGTATGCTCGTCTGCCTACAAGGGCAATAAAAAAAAAAGTACCTAAAAGCACCGTTAGTAGATCGGGAGGATCCGAAATGACGTATTTGGGGCGACGTCGACTGCTTTCCATTCTTTCCGCAGGATCGGGAATGTAGTTACCGGCGCGGCCACGATGAGACGGTTCTCGTGTTGTGCCGCTTTATCGAAGTGGCCTTAGCAACACTACCTACCCTTGACTGCGGTTTTCAGATTTTTTTTTTTCTTAGATGGGAGGACGATCTCACGTCTCACCTGATGTGAAGTGGTTACCAGAGCTCATCGAGGTCTACTAAATCCTTTATTCATAATATTTAAAGACATTATGCATAATTTACTTTTAAAATGACGTCATTCTTAGGTACTAACTAGTTTATTCTAACAAATCGCCTGTTCGGATCTGTAATGTTTCTGTTCATTCAAAAATTATCGTCATTCTTAAGTATAGTGTAAATATAGAGAGATATAAAATGTTTTTAATTCTACGACGGATCTAAGCTATTCATAAAAGGCATCTGCCGTCAGTAATATTATGTAGGTACTTGTGATACCTACTCAATGGGTGATAGACAGATGTGCGTTGTAACTGTATAACCTCGCGGGTGAATACGTAGTTCTATATTTAGCTTACAGAAAGGCATTACGGCTATTGTTCAACGCCCCAGTATATCACACAAAGGAAGGTCTCTCGGGCAAAAAAGGCAATTGAATCACGCAGGGGACCGTCCCTACGTCAGCCTTAATGCTAGGGGAGTACGTTAACACGAATAAATTATTTATTCAATGTGGCCTTTGGACTTCGATCGCGTACTGTAAACAAATAATATACACGATAACAGTTGTGGCTTCGCTTACGAAAATAAATTGAGCGGTCAAGATAAGCCTTTTCAAACGTCGTAAGGACATGGAATGCATAAATCGTTGAGAAGTTTAACTAGTCTTTAAATTATACGTTACGACACCGCAGTACCCGCAATGATTTACAACTTACTTTATTTTCTTTGTATCTGCTTAGATCACAAATACAATATTCTTTGAAGAGTTTGTCGTGATATTTTTTGGCTAATTGTTTTTCCCATGTGTCGGCTACGTCATCGTCTTCCCACAGAAATTTGTGGTTTTCTCTAATCACATCGAGGTCAGTTCTATCTCTGGACGTGTCGCGTTTCAAGCGCGTCGTGGAGCCCTTGGNACAACTTACTTTATTTTCTTTGTATCTGCTTAGATCACAAATACAATATTCTTTGAAGAGTTTGTCGTGATATTTTTTGGCTAATTGTTTTTCCCATGTGTCGGCTACGTCATCGTCTTCCCACAGAAATTTGTGGTTTTCTCTAATCACATCGAGGTCAGTTCTATCTCTGGACGTGTCGCGTTTCAAGCGCGTCGTGGAGCCCTTGGTATTCAGGCTATAAACGTTTACTAGGTACTTATGCAATTCATAAGGATTAAGATTACGCAACCTGGCAGACATCGTTAGCGTAACCTAAAACAAACGTAAAACGATTTATTGAATTCATAAAATAAAAGAAGAACCTTCAACAAACAACTCTTTAATAAAATTGAAAATTATTACATTTTCTCTAAAATATTATAATTTAGCAAACGGACTTATTCTAATTGTCATGATGAGTCTATAACAAGGTGCATTTATTTAAATAGTAAAAATTTCCTTTTAATGTGTCAATAAATAAAAGGCATCTTATGTTATTTTGTGCAAAAGTTAATATCTACTCTGAATATTATTGTCAGTCTTGTAGATTTTGTGTATAATTTTCACATTTGGCTCAATATCAAATACTTAATCTACAAACAAGTCATGTGTGTAAACATTTTATAGATCATTAAATACAATAAATATTATATTAAAATATGATTATTGTCTATTACAAATTCAACACTAGAACAATATTTTATATTTTATCAATATAATTATTTACAAACAGTTTATAAAATGTGGCACAAGTGAAAGTGTAGAAAACATTCATAGTATAAGTTTATTGTAAATATCTTTGGAATTTCGAAATCAATATATTATTGGTCGTAAGGTAAACTTTTCATTTTAGAAAAAAAAAAATCATTTGTGATGTTGGAAAAGAAGATCATATTACTGTAAACTTATTACTAAAATTACATTAAAATTGATCAAATTGGGTGGTGATTAACCTTGTTTATTGACCACCAAGCATTTCTGCTCTTCTAAGTTGATACTTCTTTATTATATCCAAATATTTTTTAACAAATCATGTATACCATCTGACTTGCCTATAGGCAATACAAAGAACTTATTACTATTCCCTATCAATATTATTAACTACTTTATTTGGTATAGTTTTAGTCTATGTGAAGTATAGAATAGGCATTTCTAATAAAATATTATTGCTTTGGTTACAGCACAGTACATTACGAAATCACTTTAAATACTTATCTAAAAATTTGGCAAAAGTGTTATAACTGGATTTATTTTAGTACCTCGAGTAACATTATACAAAAATATTAAAGCTCTCAAGAGAAGCAGGAACAAGATAAAATTTGTGACATTACATATTTGTAGAAGGCCTCAGTAGAAAATATTTCTCTATCTAATGTAAATATTACAGTAAGGCTATCGGAATCTTTGGACGTTTGACCTATATCCACATTAAATATCACTTTTATCATTTCTAAAAGGCAACTTTGGAGATATGTGTGATCTTATCGTAAGAGCACCTGTGAAGGCTTTTTACTAGTATCCTAATGCTATTCTCAAACATGCATTAAAAGTTTATAAATAAAATCCCTAAATTCAAAAGCAACTACAGCAGCACACACGAGTGTATGAACACTCTCACAAACACATAAACACACCATAATGACTAAATTATGAACTAGATCATGATAGTTTTGGATTTGGTATATAACATTTAAACTAAAAATCATACAACTAAAATTTGGCAATGAGAGAATCAGACAATCAAGCTAGTATAAAAGAATCAACCACAACATTATTATAATAATTTGGCAACAATTGGGACCATCTCAATGATCTTATTTGTCCAAGATGCAGGCTTCTAATTTGATACATTTCACATGAACTTTTTCGATATGCAGTGCTGATATTCACTGATACACAACAATTACTTGGCTCTTTCATTCATTCTATCCATGCGTTTTTTCATGTTTCTTCATATTGTCAGAGCGTGTGAAGGCTTTGTCACACACCCCACAGTAGTAAGACTTCTGTTTTGTGTGAACTGTCATATGACGAGATAACTCACTCTTTGTGACAAACTTCTTTTCACAGACTGTACATGCATGCTTACGTACATTTAAGTGAAACTTCATATGTATGGACAGTGAGCTGGATTGAGAGAAGGCTTTGTGACACAATTCACAAACAAATGGTCGCTCACCAGTATGTTTTCGTAAATGATTCATGAAACCTGTCTTAGTATAATCTTTTTGACATAAATGACAAAAACTAGACTTAGAATCTAACATCCCAGGGAAATGATTATTCATATGTTTTCGGAGCTCCCAGTAACTTGGGAATTTTTCTGAGCACATTCGACATGGATGCTTCCTTTCATCACTAGACTTTGCACTGCATTGGTGTGAAGCAAGCAACTGTTCATTGGAAAACATTTGATTACACTGGTTGCACACATGACTAGCATCAGAATCGGTTGATAGAGTGACTTCCAAGTAGTTTTCAATTGACATAACATTCCCATTGGAGCTATCTGGATCATCTCCATTTAATGGTATGATTTGGTCTCTATCGGTTATGATATCTTTGGTATCCATTTTCTCGATATAATCTTTGTAACCCAGTGAATCTTTATCTGAATTGTTGTTATCAGGCTCTACTAGATGTAGAACGGGCGACACGCTTTGATCTCTTTCAGGCGAACCCTTCTCGTTATCAGATTGCTCAGGCCGTGATGATACGTTGTTGTCCGATTCCCATTCATTTTCGACAATTTCTACGTCGGAATCGGAATCTTCAACACTCGACACTGTTGTTCTATTGTTTTCCAAATGGAATCCGATATCATCGAAACGCAGGACATTCGAAGGAAGTTTAACCCCCACTATTGCTTCAATCGCCTGCCATGAAAGCTCCTGGGGGTTGTTCTGCATATTAGATCGGACTAATCTAACCTACAAACCAGTGTTCAACCATTATAAAATTTAAACCTTTGATACGATAAATTAAAATTATGTTAAAATATTACCTTTTATGTGCACGGCCAACAATTTATTATTATTTTTGGATGACGCCCTTGTTTTCTACATCTAAAAATATTATGCTTTGCACTTGCACTAATCTTTTTTTGCGGAATTTATGGTCATCATAGATTAGACTTCACAAACGAGATTTATGGATTTTAATGGCATAGATCACAGAGGAAACTGGAAAGTGCATTTGTTGGATATGAGTCTCCTTTGATAATGTATAATTAGAACCAGCAAGTGTGGCTGTACGATATTCCCAATTTTTTTCTACAAAGTTCTTCCAATTACGATAATCAGTTTTTATTCATCAAGATCATAGTTTTATTCATCAAGTATCATTTTAACACGAAAGTTGTACTCCTAAAATATTCTTAGAATAATTAGAAATCACTTATCTGCTTGTTAATATTCAATATCATTAAAAATAACTGAATTTATTAAAACCGCGCTAATCGTACTTTAACGAATAATTGGCCGTCTTCACTGACATTTTTTTGTTGATGTATTGTTGAAGTTTTCAATACCGGCGCCGGCGCATGCGCAATGTAGTCGTGAGGTGATTGATTGCTTATTAGTTATAAAATAATTAATAATTGGGAATTTAATTGTTTTGAACATCGAACAATCATAATAGTCATCGAACAAACGATAATTGATCAAGTTTAATTAATCTAAGCGATAAAAATAAAGATATCTAGTAAAGGGAGCCAACTTAAGGGTGATCATTTGTTTAATTAATTATAAAGAAATAAAAGACGAGCAAAATTTTTTACATTCGAACATTAACAAACAAACTACGAACAAATAATTAAAAATAAGAAAATAAAATTTTCAATGATCTTCAGTTTCACTATTCAATGTGTGACAATTGACTTTGACAGACAAATTGTTTACTTTAAATTAATACCTACGTAATCCAAGAAGTTATTTATTATTTAATCAAATGGCATTTATTGGGTATGTAAAGTAAAAGTAAAGTAAATAAGATTTTTTAGGTATACATTAAAACTGAGACGTAATCAATAATATGAACTCACTACAAGAATTACAGGCAATTATTAAATCCAAAGATAATTTCACTAAATTTGTCATAAATTCTGAAGTACCGGCTGTCTGCAAAAATGAACCTTGCATGCTCGGAGTGGATGAAGCAGGCCGTGGTCCTGTGCTCGGTAAGAAACTTAAAATGTGGTGAAAAAATAGATCTAATATTGAGATCTATCCATAATTATAATTATAATTTAAAAAAATGTACTAGTTACAGTTATTTTACAGTAGGGTCTCATAGGTTTATACGGTTTGTATCAATCTTATTATAGTGAATTTCATAGGTTTTTTATAAAGTGTAGTTAGTACAGTTAAGATTGTAGAAATGTATGACATGTATTTTACAATATTCATCAAATAAATAGCATTAGGATTGTTACTGTTAATCTAGTGTGTTTTGTTTTAGGACCTATGGTGTATGGAGTATCCTACTGCCCTCTAAATCGAAAGAGTATTTTGGAGGAATTGGGCTGTGCTGACTCTAAAGCTCTTACGGAAGCTAAAAGGGATGAAATATTCACAAAGATGTTGACTGAGGAAGACAGCCTCAATAATGTTGGCTGGGCTGTTGAAGTCATATCACCTAATTACATTTCCAATTCAATGTACAGACGAGCCAAATGTTCATTAAATGAAGTAAGTTTTGTTTGCTCTTTGATTCATATACACTCACTGTTAAAGGTGGGGATATTAGTGGAGTGAACTCCTGAATTCATTGAGGCTCTCATGGAAAAAATTTATAATAATATTTAAGTGTAATTAAAAAAAAATCTTTGATAATTTTCTTAATATAATATAAAATTAATCATATCCTATTTAATTTAAATTTAAAATAAAAAACTAAGAATGCTTTTTTATGAATTTGGTGAAAGTATAAAATATTAAAAAATATTAAAAATATGTAAGCGAGACACAAAATTACAGTAGAACCACTTATTAGAAGTAATACATTGTTAGTGAGCGGTCATCAATCATTACCAGACTATTGCGTGAATTTGGCACATGGTGAAGAGGTGGACATCATTTAATGTGCTTCACATTACTGTTGAAAAGTTGTCAATTCATTTTTGTTTCGGGTAGGAATTATCAGACGACCCTTTGCTTATGTGTTGAAGGCAGTGCATGTCAGAGTTGAATCTTCCAAAGTCCTCTGTCACTCAACAACCTGTGTTTGTATCTCGGATGAGATAAAATTTTAGCAAGGTAGCCTGGGGGTAAGGTCACACTTATTAAAAGAGTCAATGCTATCATCTTGAAGTCCAAGTTCCAATTTTATAGTATAATAGCTATCATCTTTTAAATTGCAGTGCATTATTGCTTTACGGCAACAAGCTCTGCTTGCTTCAATATAAGAATATTGCAATACTTATGTTACTGTTACAGGTGTCAATGAATTCTGCAATAGATTTAATTAAGAAAGCTGCAGAAAGTGGTGTCAATATTACAGAAGTTTATGTGGACACAGTGGGGCCTCCAGAGAAATATCAAACAAAATTATCTGAAATATTTCCTTCTTACAAAATAACTGTAAGTATATTTGTTACACATAATAAAACTAAAAATGATTGCAAAACTTATTTTAAAGAGTGAATTATACTGTAAGGTATATGGTATATAAATGTCATTCATTTCTGTTTTTTTATATTTAGCATAATAATAATTGTCCAGGAAAAATGGATAGTATTTTAAGTAGTATATTGTATTACTTAAATATGTATTGTACATAAACTCGATTATTAAAGGAGAACTTATATTGATATGAGTTTGGAATTAAAAACTGTAATTAATGTTTCAAGGTGGCGAAAAAGGCCGACTCCATCTATCCCATAGTATCAGCAGCAAGTATTGTGGCTAAAGTAACCAGAGATCATGCACTAAAAGTATGGCATTTTAATGAGGGACTACAATTGGATCACACAGAATTTGGCAGTGGATATCCGGGAGGTGAGTTTTTCACATTATTTTTTACTAAATGTTTCAAAACACTACCAAAGTTCTGAATACTAGATATTGGGTTAGTAAATGAGGATATACAGCATCATGTATTAGAAAATCTTTAGCAACAAGTAATTTGATCAAGCAAAATGAGCTCAATCACCCATATAACAATAAACAAAAAATATTAATCTTTGGGTGGGTGTAACTTTTGAAGGAATCAGGAAATCTAGGCAACACTGAAGCACCTATCTATCTTTTTTAATGTCATAGAAGGCAGCTGAATGTGACCACCGATGCTCCTACAGAGCACCATAGCTGTCCACATTCTAAATTTGAATAGTTCAACCAGTTGCACTAACAAGGTTAAAGCTGTTATTAGGAAAACTTGGCAATACCATTCGGATTTTTGCTCATTCCACAGATCCATTAACAAAGAAATTCATACGCGATCGAATCGATAACGTTTTTGGATATCCGCTTTTGGTACGGTTCAGCTGGTCGACAGCAGAACTCATGCTGCAAGAGAAAGCGGCAGCGTGCACGTTTGAAGACGTAGACGACCTTGGCAAAGGAAAANAGCTGTTATTAGGAAAACTTGGCAATACCATTCGGATTTTTGCTCATTCCACAGATCCATTAACAAAGAAATTCATACGCGATCGAATCGATAACGTTTTTGGATATCCGCTTTTGGTACGGTTCAGCTGGTCGACAGCAGAACTCATGCTGCAAGAGAAAGCGGCAGCGTGCACGTTTGAAGACGTAGACGACCTTGGCAAAGGAAAAAGTAAAAGCACCAAAACTATCAGCTCATTTTTCACGCTAAAGACCGAAGACAGTAAGCCTCGTAAAAGACATAAGTTTTTTGAAGAGAGGCATTTAAGCACTTGCACTGATTTTGATTAAAAGATTTGAACATGTACAGTTAATTCGTTTAATTTACACAGTCCTGATTTATTCAATTGGTGGATATTTAGTATCGTCACGCATTTTTTTCTTAAAATAACAACGCTATATCCCAAAATATTCTTGCTCAAATTTAGTTATACTTACTATAGTCAGGCGCTCTTGCACGGTCGTAGCTGTGGTGTCGACTGAGTTATGTATTGTGAAAATCGTTCATTAGTATTGTTAAAAGATATCAAAGATGTAATGGTATTTAGCTTAAATTTGCAAGTGAAAATAACTGCAGTGCATTGTGATGAGTAGAAATCGCAAACAATTTGAATACGTTTTAAGCTGTCAACTGTTGTAACAACAACATAAAGCGTGTTTTATTATCTGGCGTATCTCCAACGATTCAACATTTTGGAAACGCTGCCCGCCGCTAACACATGCTTCTTTTACAAAATAGGTGTTACACAAATTTAGTTATCTAAGATAATCGAAATTTTAGTTGCCAAACAGTACCTACATGTTCAGGTATCGAAGATTGAGGGGAATCAGGACCCTTTCCAATTCCAACACAAATTTCCAATGGTTTTTCTAAGGGCAATACCAATAAAATTGAGATTAAAATGGTTCCGGAGGTTTAATTTTTTATATACGATGCATTATTATACATAGTTCATTATAAAATATACACAAAAACTTAAAAAAACTAGCTTGACCCGATTCATTTTAGCTTTGGGGTGAATAAGGTTACGTATGGGGACAATAGTTTTTCGATAGGGCTGGCACTATTTAGTTGTTAGGTAGGCACCTAACTTTAGGTAATTAACTTTTTAATATCTTTAATGACTTACAAGACTTTCATGACTAAATTAAACCATTTAATATTCTTAAACACTAAATAAAAGTCATTTTCAGTTCAAGAAAGTTCTAACAACTCAACAAAAGTATATTGTGACATCCCAGATTTGTCCCTATGCCATACGCGAAGCAGTTGCTCTTGAGTTGTTAGGTCTCCTTCGGAGGCGCTCGGGCAGCTGTTAGCAAATCCCACCCCTCCTTGCTGAGCCTTTGCTCGCCCACCTGTCCTGGTGAAACTGGAAAGGCCTCGGGGCGAACAGTAACCCTGCAATCTTAAAAAAAAAAAATTATCCCTATTCTAACTCTAGTCCCTATTTCCCCCAATCTATTAAAACAATATGTCATTACTGATTAAAAGAATGATAAAACTTTCGCCAACAAATTGATGCCTATAAAAGATTTGGTAATGCGATGAAAGGCGTGGGCCGGTGGGGTTCATCCAAGAAGGTGAGTTGACGGGGCACGGGCGCTCTCCTTCAGCGAGCATTAACATGCGAGACGCGATGTGCGCGCACATACTTGCCATGAGCAATGCGGAACGTACCGACCTCACTTAGAGAATTTAATTGTGTTCCATTATCATATTTAGGTTCTTTTACGGTAAGTCAAAAGTGAAAACTGAATGAGAGGCTACATCGCTTGTCATTCGTCAGTCGCGATCGATGGCGATAACTTCCTTCGGGCGGTAGCTAAATTTACAATCGGCAAAATGTTGTTTCGGTATTGTGCTGCTTTACTGGCGCTCGCCGTTTGCGCCTCCGCGATAGTAGCCCCGAATAACGTTACCAAGACTGATACGCTGAAAGCAGATTCATATTTGGCCGCCTATTCAAAATCACGGATAGAAGCAGAAAAGGCAAAACAAGGCGTTATCATAGTGACCGCGAAAGACGGCGAAAAGAAAATATCGAATCGTGACGACAGTTCGTCTGGATATGATTATTCTCCACCGAGCGACAGTTTCAGTTCATCAGGATCGTCAAGTTTCTCCGGACCATCCAGTTACTCGCCATCTCCGAGTTACGGAACGCCAGTAAAATTCGAACCTGAAATTACCTATGACACTCCCCCGAATACTTATGGCCCTCCGTCCCCTAATTATGGTCCACCAAGCCATTCGTATGGACCTCCGGCACAAACATATGGCCCGCCGGCTCAGACATACGGACCACCGGCTCAGTCGTATGGGCCACCGATTTACAAACCCATACTCCCAGTCTACGGACCGCCCCCGAAACCATCTTACGGTGTACCGTATGGCATGACCGGTTTTAATTTCTTCGACAAACTGTCTTTGAAATTAGACATCCTAACGATTGCAAAGCTGCTCCTCAAATTTCTAATATTCAAGAAGATAGTGACAATGCTGGCTGTAGTTTGTATGTTGCTTGTGATACCAAAGCTAATCAATTTCAAAAAAGACGACGCTGTTAATAAGGATGAAGAGGACCGGAGCTATGGAGCTAGAAACGGTATGTTTTGATCATTATTTGAAAACAATTAACCCATATCTGTAAGTACTAATGTAAGGTAGCTGTAGCGATATGATTTGACATCGTGAGTTTAATTTTTGGTATTCATGCGTAGTATTTCTGAACATAGGTGATCGCTTAACTTCAGGTCGGTCGTGAGCTCATCTGCGCATGCATACCTAAGTAAAAAAGAAAAATGGTAAATAGAATCATTGTGGTTACACATTACCTTTTACAGTATAACTAATGACATATTTGTATTCAAAGCAACAGTAATTTCCAGCGACGTTTTTCAACAAAAGCAATAATGTCTTATTGTATTTTACTTATGTTCTGCGGTTGATAACTGCAAAAACGTTTAAATTAGAAAATGTGGTTATTGAATTGTAATTCCATTCAATCACACGATATAATATATCATACCATGTACCCGTATTTAAAGTCTATGCGCAACATTGTGTTAGATCATTGATTTTAAAATTAAAATCAATAAAATAAAGGAGGAAAAATCACAAAAACGTAATTAACTTAGCTAACCGTAAATGCTTTTAATTGCAGTAGTCTGTCAAACTAACTCACGGTTCATTTGATGTTAAGTAACTACCGGGGTCCACGGACATTACATCTTGAACGCTGCCCACATTAGGAGATCAATATCGGTGGATGAGTTTAAAGTCTAAATAAAAATGTGAAATGAAACCCATTAATTATTTTCGATAGAAATATGCGAGATATTGGGACCTATCCATGCGTTGCTTATCTTGAATACTCTGACTACATGCATTCTCACAGAAATAATAATTTTAAACTTTACTACGACTGAAAACATCAATGTCGGTTACGTTTTGGTGTTCAATAATGAATACTCTCTCTCCCTCTATCAATTCAACTCCATAATTTGTTCAGTAATTCATTAGGCAGATTTCCATACGGATACAGATTTTCCTCGAGAGGACGTTGCATTTATGCACTTAAAACAAAGATTTTCGAACCTCAGTCTTTCGGAAGTGTTTTTTTTGAGGTATCCTTGCAACCCGTCTTCGCTCTTCAGACAGTGTTTAAACGTCCAGTATTTAGTACAAGTGTTCGCCCAGTGATCGAAATTTGATCGTAATTTGATCGTAATCTCATTTGTTTTCTTAGTTACATTTCTTGTAAAGAGGAGAAAAAAATCGTAATTTTTTTGTATCCATAAGATTAGGGCTAGTCGATAGCTATTACGAAACAAATTGGTTGACAAACAGAAGAAAATGATACCGAATTGTTATGATTTTTTATCTAACTTCTATCTTCTAACTATCTATATATTATATAAAAATGAATTTCTGTTCGTTAGCCTCGCTAAAACTCGAGAACGACTGGACCGATTTGCCTAATTTTAGTCTTGAATTATTTGTGGAAGTCCGAGAAGGTTTAAAAGGTAGATAAATGATGAAAATGCTCGGAATTAAATAAAAATAATAATTTTGTTTTTTCTTTGTTGTGTATGATTTAAGTTAATTTTATACAAAAGTTTAGGTATTTTATTTATCGATTAAGGCACTACGAAGTCTGCCGGATCAGCTATTTATTTTATATATTTGTAGATAATGTTTTTTTTTTAATTTTAATAGTGGTGCAGTTAACATCAGCGCAGCAGTTGTTGGAACGCGCAATCCTTGTCTACGGAAGGCAGGAACCTTCGTGTGGCGTTGTTTGTCGAATGCGCAGAGTTGTCGACGACATTTACGAATTCCAACCTTATACTAGGTTAGTAAAATAAATACTTTACTTATAAACTCTTAAGAGTGCCCTGCCTTTTCGTTTGTGCAGGAACATAATTTGAGCAATATCTTTAATATTTATTGTGTTGGTAATTTTTATTTTGGCATATTTAACAAAATTCTTATAAATATAAAATGATTTACTGTTTATCACTTGTTATCGTATCCAAACCTTTTGCTGTGCGATTTTCTATAGCCAAGGATTATAAATAAAATAATGTAAAGAATGCTTGTTCTTGAATGATGGTAGTGAAGTTATGCAAGATACAGATACCCTAATTTATTGTAGGAATATTTTATTTTCACAGTCCGTACATCAAGTTTTGTTTAAACTACTTTCAATTGAGTATATAATAGTAATTATAATGACTTTATGTACTTTATGGAAGTTGTAACAAACATCATTGTTCATAAAATGTATCTAGTTATTTCCTTAATTTCAGAAGTAACAATGTTGGCTCGTCGTTGTCATTATAAAGAGAAGCTAAAAATGAGTCCGGTGCCATCGGCGTTAGTCGTGAAAACTACCTACGTAATTCTACTATTTATTGATTATAAATTATTTAGTTAGTGATTATTTATTATTAATGTAAGTTAATAAATAAACAATTAATATTGAAGTTTTAGTTTTTTTGGTGTCGTGATGCTCAATATGAATTTGCAAACTAATTATGTAATATCAAAGATGTGGGTACACGTAATAAATAAATAAAAGCAGGAGAATTTAGGAGAAATTGTACTTTCTCCAAATATATAGGGGCCAAAGACCGACGAAGTATAAACTTCAACAATGCTATACACGGCTCCTTAGCCATCCACGCTGAATACTGATTAGCTTCCGATATATCATCGACGACGAATAATTAAAGAATTGGGTGACGCGCCTTATGCATGCACGGATAACTGAAGGGAAAGTAATTTGAAAGCGTTTTGATTTCCATTGATTTATGGGAAAGGGGAGCACGTCATTAACCGGATTTGTGTTGTTTTAATGTTCAAAAATAATTAATATGTCAACGGTTCAATTTTGGATTTTCACGTATCCGGATAAACGGTTGAATAAGGTAATAATCATTATTGTCGGCCGCAGTTTCTATGGCAAGTGGTTACCGTTAGAATTTCTAACAATTGTTATCTACTTTTTGAGATGCACTAATGTATTTTTAAAAGTTGATTGAAATCGTGTGAAAATTCTTTACACTCAGAGTCGTTCAGTATTTCAATGACTTGAGATTTCAATACGAGAAATGAAAGGGTTATTTCCAACAGATTTATAAAATTAACAGTACGGTTTATGAACCTACACGCGTAGACAGATACCACCAGTCTGCCTATTTCTGCCGCCAAGTAGACATTACGATTTTGGGATAGGAGAGCATAAAACACCACAAAATTTGGACTTCCTTTATGTTCTAAGGTGGGTAGCAGTATTCCCGGTTTGAAGTCTGGGTTCGAACTACTTAATCCTATGGGGCCATGAGCTCTAATGATTACACTTATACGCATTATTAGAAGCAAGACCCAATTTCTTGCGAGTTATTTTTAATTAAGAGGTGTTATGAAGTTAAATTTTGAGGAAGATTTCGTTTTTGGCCTTTTCAAGTGTGATCATACTTTTTGGAGGCTTTGTTGAAAGGTCCAATTGAAAAGCATGTTTATCATCGAAAGAAGATTAGTCCATGCCAAGCCTCATTGGGATTGGAAACCTCTGCAAAGTTTTTATTGAATGCTTCGTTTTTCTCAATGTATGACTTTAGATCGTTGTTAATAATGGCTTTGATCTGCGATATGAATAATTGAGGCTGATTAAGATGCTCTCAATAAATTTTAGTTATCAACAAGGAGGATATAAATTTTTAACACGATGTAATTTACAGATTCCAGATTCCAGATTCTTTTGATTCTTAATTATTATTATTTATTTTTTTGTTGTTTAGATGGGCTCACAGCCCACCTGGTGTTAAGTGGTTACTGGAGCCCATAGACATCCACGACGTAAATGCGCCACCCACCTTGAAATATAAGTCCTAAGGTATCAAGTATAGTTACAACGGCTGCCCCACCCTTCAAACCGAAACGCATTACTGCTTTACGGCAGAAAAAGGCAGGGTGGTGTTACCCACCCGCGCGGACTCACAAGAGGTCCTACCACCAGTTCGATTTATGCTTCAAATTTGATATTACGGGATTTTGGGAAGGATAATAAGGGAATTTAGGAGAAGCCATTTTATTACCTGGATGTCTACTGCAATGCCAAACTCTTCTCTGTCACAAGAAGTCCGATTTCAGCTTTTTTTTTTGTTATTTTGATGATTGAGCATTTCAGGGTGCTTTTTCAAGCAGTTTTCTATAAAAGATTTCTGAAATACTTTATTGGATTTTCTTTGACGCCACAAGATTTAAAGGGGCTATTAATATATGTCTATATGTTTATACTTATATAATACATATATATTATCTTATCAAAATAGTCAAGCAACTTGCTCCTTTTTTTCCTACCTAAGCTGATATCCTTGAGAGGCTATTTCAGCTTAATCTTATCTAGTAGGTGAGCTCACGGGACTCAAACCTGATGACGTTGCTAGCATGAACCCTAGCAAGAACCGTGCTTCGCAGGATCTACCACCGGATCGGAAACGCGACCCACTGAGAAGATCCGGCGAGAAACTCAGTGGGCTGTGTCTATCTATAAATTTACTCGTCGAGCCCTTCGTCGCAAGCGACGGGTTCGACGAGAACGATGACCGGTGCTTGAGGTACCTAAAAGCACCGTTAGTGGATCGGGAGGATCCGAAATGACGTGTTTTGGGCGACGTTGACTGCTTTCCATTCGGTCCGCAGGATCGGGAATGCTTGTTTCCAATCAGCACTACCATTATTCAAACATTGACTTTCCGAGTACGTATAAAGTAAAAAATATATTACTTACTAGCGACCCGCCCTCGCTTCGCTTCGGAAACATTAAAACACACATGAAACCAAAAAAATAAAATAAAAAAAATATTAAAAAAAGTAGCCTATGTTCATCAGGGACAATGTCGGCTTCTAACGGAAAAAGAATTTTTCAAATCGGTCCAGTAGTTTCGGAGCCTATTCGAAACAAACAAACAAACAAATCTTTCCTCTTTATAATATTAGTATAGACTAGTATGTACTTATTAAAAATGGAATGCATCGTGATCCCGCCTTGGTGTCAATTTCAATATCCACTCTATTACTGCCGCGAAATATTACGTCTAATAACCAACAGAACTCTTATTTGCTTAGTAGGCGTAGTTAGTAGTTGACTAAAAATTCGACTCCTTGTAATGACTAAGATATCGAATTTTAATTTTAGCTTGAGATTTACAAAGTATTATACATTGTATATACCTTCACACGCTTGTAGAAGCATGGAAATACTAATTCTCGCAATACATTTAGTTTTTAGTAATGGAGGAACAGTTTATATGATATCTAGTATAATAAAGACACCACTAAAATACTCAGAATGAATAAATTCTGTGTAATTTGACTGCCTAAATCATTCTTGGAAAATGATGACTATAAATAAAGAAGGTATTAAAATGACCGATCATATACAGGATGATGGTACTAAATTCACTGGTGGTTCAAGGTCTTATGCGCCCTTACGGGTGGATATTGTCACACCGGCCATTTTAAAGGCTGGGGCAGCCGTTGTACTACAGAACTGAGATGTAGAACTAGTGTCTCATGTTCACATTTCTAAGCATAAAAATAAACTAAGACAGTTAATCTCACACAATAAAGGTGACGAACCTAAACAAAATTAAAATCCGTGTAGAAATGCAGAAGTTATATAAATTATTGTAAATAAGATAGGTACATGTTAGACAGAAGGCACATGAACAATGACGTTAATGATCCGGTGTGCCAATTACATATCAAGAATCGCTACGCGGGTAAATCCCACAGCAACTCTTTTCAGTTACTGTAATAAATTTCAGCTGCTCGTATCTGAGAATTTTACTGGGCAATGTAGGTTATTTTTTTAATATCTTTGTTTCAGTTTTTGAGCTCTTTGCAGTGTCGTGGGCAAGTACCAGTGCTGGCTCATGAACTTCAGCAATTCAAGGGGCATAACCAAGTCGCTGCCTATTAATATGTACTGTAGTATCTCGTCATTTGTCAATGGTGGCGAGGTGTAAATTATACTAATAATTGTGAAACACAGGTAAAATATTAAAATTCGATATTAAATATTTTACGTTTGTACTTACAGTAATCCTGTGCTCATCCTGTATCTGTGAAGCTCTCGTTAATTGAAACCAATTCAATGTAATTGAGTTGTCCAGGAGGGAGCAATATACCGACTCGAAACTTAGCAACTCTGTACCTACATACTTACCCAACATATTTAGAGTATTCATTTATCTACTTCTTACCTTTTCTTATCTTTTAAATGGATAGTATATAAGGCTGTTTATTTATTTAATTTGAATACACTCATTTGTTGCTATTTTTTATATTTTTCAGTGCTTAGATGCGGTGGAGATATTTCTACCAGCCGTCTTCTTTCACGACTCGCCCAATGTTCGAGGACCTGGCGGCTTGCCTCGACGGTCCACAGAAGCACCTTTAATACATCATGTCAAGTATGCTATTTTTAGTTTCGATCCAATTTTTATATTACGTTGTGAATTTATTATGTTTTGATATTATAATACCTTTCAAAAGTCTAATAAAATACTACGAAATTATTTCTTGGAAAAGGAGTATAGAATTTTTTAACTCATCTCAAAACTTTGTATTTGAAGACTTTAAACGGGATTGCTTCTAACTCTATATATTATTATATTATATATAAAGGCACCATTTTAATCTACGTTAAAAGGGTATTTACACCAAAAAATGTAGAGAAGTAGTTTAATTTTTAAAAATACTTTTTGGGGCGCTGTTTAGGCCACAAAAAATTCTCTGCTACTCGTGCGAAGCTGGGGCGGGTTGCTAGTTAATTATAAACACATAATTTGCGTTAATTATTATTTCCCTTGACCTAATATGTATTTTGGGCATGTTCAACTGCGGGTGGATAATACAGATGACCTTCTATTAATCAAGAGCTGACGTTTTTCGTCACAAAATAACAAACGCAATTTTATAGGTTTTGACCTAAAATTGCATTTATTGAGTGAATATTATTATCTATGCTAAATGGCATTCAGTATAATATTGTATTTGATGTTTTAGTACCACTTTAAATATTTATATTTTCAGTTCTGTGTTAGGTACGTTAAACCTTTCTTCTATAGATAATTTTCCAATGCCATCGGATCTTATAAATCTCCGGTTCCGTATAAAATAACACAAAATTCTTTGGTTTTTGCTGACATCGTTTAAAATAGTTTTACGGCTTAAACTCGCTTTTTTTATTGTCATTATATTATTCCCAACATTTCGAATACCTTACATTTTTATCACGAAGACAGTAATAATGGATCGTAATTGCAAATAAATAGTCGGAAATACTACGGTACAGTATAGTCGAAATATGTGTGTGTAACAATAGTCGGAAATAATATAATGGCATTTAACCGTAAAAGTGGTTTTAATTATCCTTGAAATCAGGTCGGTCGCGGTATTGCTGGTCCATCAACGAAATTCATCACAAACCAAATAAGACAAAGCGAAGTTTGGCATTGCTTCTAATTTAAACCCATAGTCATTTCATTTCATAATTAAAGTTGTTAGCTGCATTACTAGTGACGGTGATATTACTGACACTCTGCCTGTTTACAGACAGCTCGTTTTCCAGCTTTGTATTGTAACTTTCAATATTTCTTTCTCAAATCGCTCTCCTGGGTAATGAGGTCGCCGCACGGTTATGTGGATACAGCCGTCTTGCCCTTTTCTGTCTTTTTCAGCGGGATAGTCGTTATTCCTCAGCAATCGGTACTTCAAGAATGGCTTCACCTGTGGCGGATTAAGTTATTGTGTCTATCGGCTCCCGTGATGGCTTCAAACAAAATACATCTGACAGACGAGCTTTCGTAACGAAAACGGCAATAGGTGGCTTACGTGTCGTTTTCAACAAATTTGTATGTCATGCACGTATTTAGCGATAGTTAAGGCGACTCGGATTACGATTTATTGGTTTCTTGAAAATTACGTTAACTTACGTATGTACAACTTTAGTAGGGAGGGGTCCGCATTAGTATACCTACTATAACGTGGACACGACAATGAACTTGTCGGAAGCGATTGTCACGCCCGCAGCAACAAACAATGGCCCATGTTACATTACCAGCACAGATAGTGCCAATTAACCGTTCCGTGACCATTTCCATTCAGAGCAGTTACTTTAGGTTCTTGGCCGAAAACTTAATGTATCGCCACGTCACAACTTTAATAAGTTTTCAAAGCTAAAGCTAATAACAAAAAACTATCTTTAAGGTGTAGTATTTAAATATAATTCTTTTATTGGAATTTAATTTGTTTTCTTTTTGTCAAGAATCTCTATGATAACGGTGATGATGATTGAATATTATTCATACTTGAATTTCGATGTAACCAAAGAAAAATGCAAATTTTACACATAAACATAGACAGATGCCACCCAAACTGTATTTCCATTCTGATATAAGTTTTTAAATGAACCGAAATAAATAGAAGCATTCACCGTGACAGATACTGTGTACAGATGCTCTATTTAATCCATTGTAAAAGGCAAAGGATGGGCAGGTTGGTTGTTACTATCAAGTGCAGGATCATTCGCCTGGAACGTTGATGGCTCACTGTGGAATCTGCACGTGTAATCGACACACGTGTGCGTCGACGCACGATATTACGGAAGCTGCTTTACACTGTGCAACAGTCCTTAGCTCAATAATTGACGCGTAGTGAAACTACACCCAGTGATGTTTTTGTGAAGCATTAAAAGTTCGCGAATATTTTGAAATAATGGAAGCCCCACGTCAACTCCATTCACGTAAGTATTCATCTAATAATAACACAAATACCGCTCTTTGTTTTAACTCCTTAGTCACTTTAATTAGCGATCGAGACCAGGGTAAATAAGAAAGAAAATTTCATTAAATCCTAACCTGTAAAACTTAGATAGCTTTTCTGTCCATTTCAAACCAACGTCCGTATTATTATCGGAACAATGGTGTTTTGAAAAGCACAAGAGATTACGATCATAGAATTTCGAAACACGTAAGACCTACATATTCAATGACTGAGAACAAGATAATATAATTATGCAATCGGATAAAACAATATTACCTCTTCTAATAGGGCCTGTACACATGATATAATTAATAAATTAGTGCTAGATCACTGACTCAATCTGTAAGATGCGAAGTGGCGTTTTAAGGCAATATAATTTCGCTACAAAATATTAAGGAAGTTTTATCGGTGATCTTCCAAACGATATCTCTTATCTGTTTCATATCTATGTTGATGTTGTACAACAAGCATGGTTTAGTCGATCATTTTTATTGTGTGGTTACGTATAGTTATTTGAGTTATTTAGTAATAAAATTTCAGTGAGTTCAATTTATGGAATATAAAGAGTATTGGAATAGTATTCATTCATCGGTTTGGTATGTAAATACTCGAATCTATCATTCACCGAATTCGTTCGTTTGAAATCTTGCCAATTTATTCTACTATCGAAATATTGGTTTCTAAATAACATCATAATGTTCAGTTTCCGTAGTCATTTAATAGTAGAGGGCCGGTAAAGTCGGAGGAAGGAATTTCGGAAGGACGTTGTCTACTGATTCCGATAGAAATCGTTAAGTACATCCTATTGCGCTTGTGCTGGGTATAGTTTGTGAGCAGTGGTCGGAACGGCCTCTTCTGGACATGTACATACATATACATAATATATTAATATTAAAAACATTTTTTTATAAGACTTATACAAAGTGTTCCAACACTTTTCATTGCATTATTTGCCAGTAAAATTTTCGCTTCAACTAAACTAATAGTGATTTACTGATTCTGTTGAAATATCGATGTTTTTTAACGTAGTACTTCTTTGTACTTGTTTTCATGTTTCGTTGCTGTAGTGCGTTATCTTAAAGAAAAAATTTAGGGACCGTGTCTGACTCATACCCAAGTCATGGATATTCTAATTATATACCCATAGATAGTGGCTTACATTTTATACACAACGAATTCCTAATTGATGAAATAAATCTAACAAGTCAAGTTGTTACTCATCATTCTTTGTATCATCATCAGTTGTTTGTACTCACAACATAAAGCATGGCATAGTATATCTCAAGTATTGCTATAATGTTTTTTTGATTCTAAATTAAATGGGACTGTTGTTTTTTTTATTGCATAGATGGGTAGAGGAGTTCACGCCCCCCCCCCCGGTGTTAAGTGGCCACCGTAGCAGACATCTACAAAGGACTTAGTTTTGACAATAAAACGGCTGCCCCACCGTTCAACCCGAAACGCATTACTGCTTCACGGCAGAAATAGGCAGGGCGGTGGTACCTAGCCGTGCGGACTCACGAGACTTTCTACCATCAGTAAAAAGAAAAAAAGCGTTTGAATGATTGCCTTTGCTTTCGGTTTTAGCTTCGGTAGCACATATTGGTAATTATAAGCGGGTACTGGTAATTGGGCGAGGATACTGAGCCCACAGTTTATAGTTCCATTGACGTAATGTTCTGCCATAATACACTACAACCGGATATTTTATCAGCTATTTGCAAACGACGTCATGGCTCGCCATATTTTTCTTCGAGCATCACCACAGAGATGTTGTCCACTTGAGACATAATATTCGAAAGCCAATAGAAGCTCTTTGCTCCAGAGATAGCTACTAATGTGGTCTGCCCGCATTTGGAATATACTTACAGGCATCTTGTGTGACGCTAGTTATTAAAACAAGAACGTTAGGAATTAGGGAATTAAGAAGGATAATTAAACCCAGATTTGATGTTAGAATTATTGTTAATTCAATAGCGGTAGTAATTGGTGCTTTTGAAAGTCCAAATTGGCCACAGCATCACCATATAACTCTATGAATGTTCTATGAAGATTGCCATGGCATATAAATTCCATGCAATATATAAACCCGTATTTAAGTAGGCTATAACCTATTTTAATATGATATATTTTTCATGTAACATTAATTGTTTTTTTCAGATCGCGTAAATTTTGGATGAAACAAATTTTGACATTGGAAGACATCAAATAGTCATAAGTAAAATGCCAGAGCTTGGCCCGATGATGCGCGCGCTCGAGTTGCAAAGAGTGATCGAAGACAAAGTGGCGGAATGGCGCGAAAGGTCAGCCCGGGTCGCCGGCGCAACCGTGGCCGAGTCTTATCAGCAACCACTCAACTTCAAACGGCACACACATAGACGCAAAAACAGCGCTGAAATAAACAGAATAATCGCAAAGTATTCAAAACCCTACAAGAGAACGGACGAACCCGATCACGTCACACGGGACGTCCCGGGAAAAGTACCGACGCGACCACCTAGACACAAAAAGCTATCAGTCACTAAAGGATTGTCTAAAAGCGAGGACAACCTTGCCGCTGTTGGCGTTATGGAAACAGTTCCCGACAAAATCGAACACGTGAAACCACCGTTTAATATTTCAAAGTACAAGACGAAGAGCTGCGAAGACGTAACCGCGTTTGTAGACGTCCATCATAGTATGAAAAGCAAACATTTTGAGCAGCACAGCATATTAAATGCAAAAGTCGTCCCGAGCAATTCAAGGCTGAAACTCCACAGCATCTCAGAAGATATATCCGTTGTTTCTGAATTAACGGACAGTGGTTTCGAGGTCAGGGACAAATCAAGTTTTATTACCTCTACACCGATTTCGAAAAGGAAGACTTGTCCAGTGAATAGTTCCCTGACAAATTTAGGTGTTGAAAAGTGCTCTATTTATACGAACAGTGTCAATGATCTTAGGAAAGGTCGCTCGGAGCCGGACATCCTCGGTGCGAATAAAACTGAGTCAATGGACGGTGTAAAGACTATCGACTGGCGAAAACGATGGAGACAATTAAAGCCGCCTTTTAAAAAAGGTACTTTCGATTGTCTGCTGCTTTGGAGGGGCCGAAGACCGCGAGCGACAGTGGAGTCTTCTCGTAGGTAAGTTATTTAGAAACATTCAGAGTTAATTTCCTACAAGATCCGCTAATTTAATCTATTGTTATTTTTTTACGGCAATTTTTCCCTGAACTCTGCCTCGAAAATTGATTGTTGAGCGTGTTGTGAGTCTTCACGGGATAGCTGGAAACACAATTGAGACTTCGCGTGGATTCTTAGGCTGTAGCCGTTTAGCATCACGCGGGCCAATGGCTAATAAATAATAAATATCATAGGCCATTTAAATTTTAATAAACGTTAGTACGTATTTCGTAATCACACTCAACATTTTACAAATAAATTATATGTGATCTTATAATTTATCTCATTTCGTAATGAAATAGTTTAATTTTAGTGTAACTTAAATAACTTATTAAATGTGTATTTTACTATGAAGATAAAAAACAGCACAAAACTCATGACATTAATAATTACACGCAAGCAAGTGTAGTTTATTTTAAACTATTTAGTCATAAAAGTCTTCCATTAAAAAAAATCAAAACACTAGTACGATGGCCTTTGTAAAATTTAAAACGTAATAATAGAATACTCAATAAAATCATTTAATATCCCAATAATATTTTAGGTAATAATCACAGATTTTCTATGACACTTCACTAACACTTTATCCGTCTATGATGTTTACGTTTTATAATTGCTAATTACTTATCTACTAAAAATAAATATGGTACTGTGGTACGTTTCCTCTAGAAATGATATCATTTTGTTGTGATTTAATAATGTATTAGATTGACATGTGGTAATGTAAATAAATATACTGGCGTAGCAGTTCGGTGCCTTATTATATTAGTAGGATTATATTTGTGCATCTTAATCACAAAGCAGGTCACCGTCCTCGTCGAACCCGTCGCTTGCGATGAAGGGCTCGACGAGAGAATTATTAACCCATAGACACAGCCCACTGACTTTCTTGCGGGATCTTCTCAGTGGGTCGCGTTTCCGATCCAGTGGTAGATTCCATGAAGCACTGCTCTTGCTAGGGCCAGTGTTAGCAACACTTCTGGTTTGAGCCCCGTCAGCTCACCTACACGACAAGGAGAAGCTGAAATAGCCTCTTCTTTTTTCCTACCTAAGCTGAGAGCCTTGAAAAGCTATTTTAGCGTAACCTTAACTATTAGGTGAGCTCACGGGGCTCAAACCAGACGACGTTGCTAACACGAACCCTTGCAAGAGCCGTGCTTTGCAGAATCTACCACCGGATCGGAAGCCCGACCCACTGAGTAGATCCGGCGAGAAACACAGTGGGCTGTGTCTGAGGGTATAGCCTCTCAAGGCTATCACCTTGAGAGGCCATAGGTAGGAAAAAAAATCACAAAGTACCCAGATCAAGAATGAGAGCTATTCATTCTAGACAAAGTTGCTTCAAAATATTTTTTCAGTAATAATTTTAATCGGTCGCTTTTTGAAGTATATTTTTCATTTACACATGGCAGTGTGCTAGTGACTTGAATGCCGGCGGCCATTAAGATCTATTAGGTAGGTACCTGTACCTTGGCATTTTGTGTAATTCTATTCGATCTATGGTTAGTTTTACGGTGGTTAGCGTGAGTTAATGAAAGCGTTAGTTTATTTATCATTACATAGGTACATAGGTTAGGAATGCAGTTCCTCTTTACTCAGTGTTCAGTATCACAAATTTACTTTTTTTTACTCATAATTCTATTAAGTGCCGATTAGGAATTTCCTTTAAATTCGTCTATACTAATATTATAAAGAGGAAAGATTTGTTTGTTTGTTTGTTTCGAATAGGCTCCGAAACTACTGGACCGATTTGAAAAATTCTTTTTCCATTAGAAGCCGACATTGTCCCTGATGAACATAGGCTACTTTTTAAAAAAAAAATATTTGTTTTTTTTGTTTCATGTGTGTTTTAATGTTTCCGAAGCGAAGCGAGGGCGGGTCGCTAGTATTTAAATAAATTTGGAATAGAGCAAGCTCTGAGTTTCCCCTCGATTCTTCTCAGTTGTGAAGCCTTGTAAAAATTTAAAGAGCCCGTGAAAGGCTACGAGAATCAATTCAATTGCTATTTATGCCTAACCAGTATTTAATACCATTTTTTTAGAATGTATATTGTGAGCTACCTACTTACTTATTTATTAATTTAATCAAATATGATTTAAAAAAATTAGAAAATTTAAAGATATTCAATTTTATCATGTAAGTATCGTGTTGTTCCCAATTAGTATTGCAATAGCATCCGCTAGCTTTATAATTACCTAGTTGTTGTTTGTAGTTTAAAATGTATTATTCAAGGAAAGTTCTTAATAAAAAAAAACGCATCAATAAATGCCATCGTATTGCTATAGTTTTGTAGGGTCCACGAGGCGTAGATATGCATACTTAAATAACATGGTTAAAAAGGATACCAAAATCACCCATAAAAATTGAATTCCAAATTTTATATAAAAAAAAATATCTTAGGATGATTCTGAATTAATAATATATACATAATAACAATATTGGTTACGATCTATTTGCTCTATTAATTATCAATAAAATGTATTGTAATGACGAATTTTTTTTTTTTTTTTTATTGCTTAGATGTGTGGACGAGCTCACAGCCCACCTGATGTTAAGTGGTTACTGGAGCCCATAGACATCTACAACGTAAATGCGCCACACACCTTGAGATATATAGTTAGTTCTAAGGTCTCAGTATAGTCACAACGGCTGCCCCACCCTTCAAACCGAAACGCATTACTGCTTCACGGCAGATATAGGTGGGACGGTGGTACCTACCCGTGCGGAATCAGGATAATATCAGTTATCTCGGGTCAATTCAGTGGCATTATTTCGTTGTCGGTGTATCGAGTTCGGATCTGTGTGCTTAGTCTGTACCAGAGTTAATGGCACAAACTAAGCTCACTGAAATGTTGGTTCTGGTGGTATCCTAGAACACCGCCGACTGTGATGACCGATGTAGAGTTGTTTTCGCCAACGACTTCGTCGCCCCAGGGAGGCCGCACGCTTACTTTCAGCATTGACCGCAGTCGCGCTTTCTTGATCTCCGATGTTCAGTAGCAAATGAGATTCAAACACGGGAGTTATGTAGTTAGTCCCTTACATCACTTCTTCCGTCGTTGGTGGTCCCCGCTACGACATATCGAGGTGACGCATATCTCGCGTGTAATAGTAAATGTATAATAATTTGAAGAACAACAATAACAAGTAAGTGAAGCGTTCGTTTTTTGGAAGTTGGATAATAAATGAAAAAATTCCATGATTTTATGAATGTATCTAATAAAATTCATTATTCGAATACGGGAATCTTTTTGCAATAATATATACGAGAGCTACTATATATCTTATGATGGCAAATATGTATTAAATATTTGGTGTCTACGATTTAAAACAATGAATTTCGTTGGTACGAAACAGGTGTAATCGTGAAATCGTTCATTATTGGATGGATAGATGGCGTTAGCAGTACCAAGTTAAAATCCTTTTATATGTATTTCATTTTGACAACAAAACTATGCTTGGTTTACAAAACAAAACGTTATTATGGAAACAATGTTTATATTATACAAATTTTTTGTTTATTCAATTTCTTTAAAACAACAATAAAAAATTTGTAATATTATGAGATTTTATGGAATTCTCTTTTTTTATTGCACAGATGGGTGGGCCAGCTCACAGCCCACCTGGTGTTAAGTGGTTGCCGGAGCCCATAGACATCCACAACATAAATGCCGCCACCTGCCACCTTAATATGTGAGTTCTAAGGTCTCAGTATTAGTTAGAAAGGCTGCCCCACCCTTCAAACCGAAACGCATTATTGCTTCACGGCAGAAATAAGCAGGGCGGTGGTACCTACCCGTGCTGACTCACAAGAGGATCTACCACCAGTAATAATATGTAAAAACGAATTCAAAAAATTCCACTCATGGAGTGCTATAGCCTCCAAGTATATTTAATTTGAGACACGGAAATTGTACCCACTTTTTTCTTATTGTTTCTGGGACCCTAAAAAGGGAACATTTTCTAAATTTAGAGAGCATCGTAACATATAAATTTTCTTTCATTTTGTTATGTTTAAACGAGAATTACAGTTTTTTTTTTCAATAAGCCTAGTAGTTCCCCGCCTTCGGTGACTATATCTGACCTTGTATTTGGTCATTGGCTTAACTGTTGTAAATGTGCTTTGCTCACAAGTCACAATACGAGTAGTACGTTGTTTTTAATACATTTAAGTAATTCAGAGCGGGAGTAAACATGTCGACCTAGTTCATTTTATCACTACTACTGTACGTACTATTTATACATTGAGTACTTTTCCGAATTTATAAATCTTTTTTTTTATTTCACTTGTAGGCAGACGAATCAATCCACTAAGTTGCTCGTCGAATCTTTTCAGTGGGTCGCGATTCTGATTCGGTGGTAGATTCAGCGTAGCACTGTTATTACTAGGGCCAGTGCTAGCAACACCTCCAGCTTGAGCCCCGAGAGCTCACCCACACACTAGGGTGAAGCTGAAATAGCCTCTCAAGGCTATCAGCATAGGTAGGAAAAAAACTGCTTTACTGCTTTGCTGTAGCTTTGCTGTTAGAAACTTTCCTCATGCTGAACCCAGTGAACTTGCTTACCAGTCCGATGACGCCAAAACCAACCCGTTACCAACAGTTGGTTAGGTAGGGGGAAAAACGGTAAATATGAAGTAGAAGTAGAATATAAAGTAAATATGAATAAAGAAAAAATTGTAAAACTTTTCTTTTTATTAAAATGTACATAATATACAAATAAAAGTGTTTGCCCAAAAGGAATCTCCAAATGAAAATCGAACAATAAATCAAATGAATGGAACAACTTCAAATTTCTAACTAAAATTTACATAATGGGAGTTTTACAAAAAGTAGTTCTTATTTTTTCCGGATTTGCAGGGTCGTAATAACGCTTACCGCTCATAATCTTGTTATTTTCACTAATTTTTCGAGATCGATCAACATACAGTCCTTGGTGGTCGTGCAGATATCACCACTAGC